AATTCACAATTTTGGTAAAGCACCTTAAGAACCTTCCATCTATGAAGAGTATTTGATTCTACCATATCTGGGTCTTGAGAAGAAGATTTTTGAAATTTCAGTCAATTCGACCCTTTTGGGCCCACCCATCAGCCCCTGGGAGTCAGTCAGGGCTGATATGTGCATACTATCAAACTGCTACCCAATACTGATAATGCTAACCTAAATTGAATTACTTCCAATGGCAATTAAACAAATGTTGTTCCAAAATGTGATTTCCGTATATAAACTATAGTCAAGTTTACCCCCTCCCCAGGGGGAAACGTGACACCCAAGGGTCAAGAAATTCACAATTTTAGTAAAGCACCTTAAGACCCTTCAATCTATGAAGAGTATTTGATTCTACCATATCTGGATCTTGAGAAGAAGATTTTTGAAATTTTAGTCAATTCGACCATTTTTTGCCCCGCCCCTCAGGCCCCTTGGGGCTGGGGACCATATAATTCACAATTTCAGTTGACATTTGGCCATGTAAGGTTTCTGCAAAATTTCATTGAAATTGGTTCAGGGGTTTTGGAGAAGAAGTCGAAAATGTAAATTGTTTACGGACGCACGACGGACAAAAGGCGATCGCAATAGGTCACTTGAGACTTTGTCTACCAGTCAAGATAGAAAGTCTCTAAGTATGAACAGTAGTTTTTGATGCCATTTAACCTTATTTATTTCATTGTGTGATGTCAGTTCGAAGGCAGCTGAATATGTTGGGAGTAGATAATCTATATTTCCACAAATTTAATGGTGACACTTCAACAGTAAATTACATGATAATCCTTCCTTTGGTACATAGTAGATTATGACACATAGAGTTGAAAGTCCTTGTATCACTGAACACCTATTTAACACTTTCACCCCAAAGTAACTTAAGTAGACTTGACTATACATTTATATGGATGAGTCCATTATGGTCTACAGTGGTGAAAGGGTTGAAGATATTTCATTATCTTCAATTTTTTTTTTAAATTTACTGACCCACCTCACTGCCAAACATCCACACTGTCACACTTATGCAGACACATACACAAACTCTACTGATAGCATAAGACGAACACAAAAACAGCTGACAGCAAAAACCATCAAAATACCTGATACGCACAACTTATACCCTTGCATACAAGACACATGTACACAATTACACCATGCCAGCTTAAGACACATACGGCAACACCTGATAGTATTGGACATATATTGACAAGTGAATGCTTGAGACATACATTACAAAACATCACAGTAGGACACAGTAGGATGATACAATATGACGAATGATTCCGAAAGATATATACAATGACAAGTTTTTCTGAGACACGTAATTGTCACATGACTGCCAAATACACATATCCACTCCCACGCAAGAGATACTCCAGCAAGATTAGCACAGCTACATATACCAGGTATTTAGGCACAAAATGTCCAAAAACATATATATATATAGTGACACACAGACTTCCTGAAGGACACAGACAAAAGTGGAGCCAAAATGTCCGTTAGGAACACCCTAATAGAACCAACTCAATTACCGATCCCTTACTATACAAACCTTAAAATCATCTGTCATTAGCAATAAAACCGACTGGGGAAAAAATGACCAAATTTCATTTGAAGTCGGTGAATGTATCTCAAATCTCAACAAGAGAGCCACAAACAGCTGCTTACTTTATTAAACAGCAATCTTCACATATCATACCATTATTTCTCTGACCCCTTGTTTATGGCAGTTTGTTTTGGTGCCCATTGGTCATACTGACACTGAAATGTTCCATACACTACTACACACATAGATCAATGAATTGTCTATAGAGCCAGATAAGACATAAAGAACATTTATCCTAAGATTTCTAGGAAATATCTAGCAGGCGTACATCTGGTAATACAACACATGGGCACGTCCTGAAGTATTAGGCAAACAGACTACCAGCCTTGTCCTATATCACATCATAGCTCCCAGACACAACTCGGACCACTATCATGGACTGATTACCAGAACTAGACAGTTTATTCCAGTATTCAAACGTACTATTCTGAGAAATGATTTATTGCTATGGACGATAATAACTTTTTCACAAAGTCTCAGAACTGGAATCAGCTAATGATTGCAAATTTATTAAAAAAAAAGTTTTTTGGAACAAAATAAATGTTCATATGCAAATTTTCTGAGAATACTCTTTGCCATTTCATTTCATCACTTTAATTGATGATGGCTTTTGAAATACTCCAAACATGTAAAGCTGACATGGTAAGTATAAAGGCAACCATGTAATAATTGCAAGTTTACCATAATTAGCAAATTAATGACTTTTGTTTAAGAAATGAACTTGTGACAATTAGACCATAGGTGAGAGTGATAAATAGGATTTGAGCTCATGTTGATTACTGGAGTATGATAAATAGATTGTCAGCAATTCAAATAGATGGCGTTGATCAATACCTCCAACGTATATTGACCCATGCTGGTTCCAGAGTAGGAGAGCTAGGTTAGATCAATAACCATGCTAATAAAGGCAAAGCCAAACCAACATAAATATAGTACAACATAAATAACCAATTCAACACAAAACCCTCGACTACCTTTGTTATAACAGACTTGAAACTGTATCGGTAAAACACAATATTAACTTCACAATATTAACTTCTATCAACAATGGAATATGTTGATGTGATTCTAGTATTATTTTCTAGCACAGAGGTGAAAACGGGCGTTATTGCTATGGGGAATTGTTCATCTTTCAACGCTGTCCTGCTCTACTTACTATACAGCTATCACTATAACCTGTTTTCAGTAGGACCAACTTCTCTATCTGTGCGAGCCTACTAAACCTAACACTCTGTCACATCTATCAACCATACACTTCCTCCTTCAGTCGTTGTATCTTTACAATGTTAAGTGGACCATTCAAGTCCAAATGTGTACTTAACAGTTACAGCTCTGAATGTAGTTGAATTAAAAATGTACCAAAGGAAGGAAACACTACTAAGAGATTTGAATGTAGCTGAATTACAAATGTACCAAAGGAAGGAAATACTACAAACAGATTTTGTCATGAGGATGTGAACAATCAAGTTCCTGGTCTAAATCATCTGTCACCGGTGGTCATCTGAAGTGACCAATGACCTTGACAGATGGACAACAGGATCACATGGCCAGTGGTCATTCTATATTGACTGAGGCCTGTGCTAACTTCAGTAAATCTGAGATGACTATTCTGCAGTATAGACCACGGCCAATCTACAATGACCGTCTTCGAAATTGAATTATCAGACTTCAAAATCTATGGCCATTTTGTCATGACTATAAGAATGTAAAGACTTTGTCCCTTTTTTGAGGATCAGCTGAATAGAGACTGATGCCATTCTGAGATGACCATTGGTCAGTTGGAGGAATACATACTTTGTCTCACTCTTCTCCTCGTCTCGGTGTGCTGAGGGGTTATTGATGGGCGTGTTGGACTGTCCAGCTGTTGGGTCATCTGGTGCTAACTCTCCATTCGTGGAACTGACCACCTGAAATAAAATGGAAGGCCATGTTTAGATATGGCAATATCGAGGTACAATTAGGGATACTGCTGGACATTGCAGGGCTCAGAGCATAATCTACCAGAAAGGAAGGCTTCCGCAGCATAATCCAGCACAAGCAGCCTATTGCCTGTGGTCCTCTGTAGATAAGAGTTGCATCTGGACAGTCTGCATAAATTTTGTCAAGATTTTTTTTTATTATTATTATTATTTTTATTATTATTATTAAAAAAAGAAATTTTCTTTGCAATGCACTTCTTCAAAAATATGGCTTCTCTTAAAAGGGTACTTGATACATTAATTAAAAAAAATCGAATGTTTAAAATCAGGTGCAAATTGTCATTTACAGCAGACTGTCACTTACACAACATGTCAAACAAATACTACATACATATATATATATACAGAATAAATTGATATAAGATTTCTTAGAAAAAATCTACAAGAGTATATCAAACAAAATTAGTGATTATGAAAATATGTTACTATGAAATACTTAATAAGAAATAATTATTTCTGTGCTTACAAAATTTTCTACAATTGTCTACTGAACCAAAATAGTGGATAATTGTTCACATTGTGCTTACAAAGATTTCATTAATATCAAAACAAAAACAGAAACACTATCTACTTAAGCAAAAAGCACCATTCCTTTACATTTGCTCATAGCTATCGCAGTCTCCTTATGTCGAAAGATTCTTGATGCTTCTAGATTCACTACCACCAGTGTGCTTCAAAGCTGTGCACTGACGCTGAGCAGAAAAAGGAAGGGCTAATTCTTGGAGCATTTCAATAGCAATTGAAAGCCTTTTAAATCTTTTCTGTAGGAAGCGTGTTGGGTGGGAAAGACAGATGGGTGTCGACTAGCTAAATACATAGTCTAGCTCTCACAGCGGCGACATAGAGTTGTCCTATTATGCAATTACTTTTTAAAGAAAATCCAATAAAAGTTCGGGAGGTTTTTTTTTCCCATTTATTTTTTCAAGAAATTCACCTGTGAAGAACACTATTAGTACTAATTCAATAAAGTAGTGTTTGATCATCTAAAACAGCAAGGAGGCTGTCAATGTGATATATTATCAGTATATATTTTAGCTAGACTACTATAAATAATACTGCCATACAAGTGATTTATCTGCTTATTTAACCCTTTCACCACTATGGACCACAATGGACTCATCCAGATAAATGGATGGTAGAGTCTACTCAAGTTTCCTAGGGGTGAAAGAGTTAAAGCTACACTCTCCAGCAACAGATTTACGAGACCCTAATCAATTTGCCTTGATCAACAATGCTTGCCCTAGTCTACACTTCTCCTGTCACCTAGCATTCTTACATCAGCATAAACTCGAAGCAGGATGTATTAAGTGTTGAGTAAAATGTTCACACTACTTCCTGGTCGGTGGTAAAGGTAGCCATTTACCATAAATGCAAATTAAACATAACATACTAGATTGTGTGATATCGTCACAGAAATAATGAATACATACCTAGTTTGCCAAAAAAAAAGTTGCAAAAGCAATTTGCATACATTCAAGCAGAGTTATATTTCTGGTTACATTAGCACTTGTTTCTCAAAAAGGTACCTAACCTTGACCTTAAAAAGGAAACACTGTTCATTGACCCCTGTATTAGCTAGTTGGCCTGTAAAAGACACAATGCTCCTGTAAACGTAAGCCTGAAGGCTGGACAGCTACGTTGCCCATCACGGTACCAATTCCTACCCCTTCCTTGGGTCTGGTCAGGATGGCCAACAAAAGGTTTTGTCTGCGTTAGCATATCTAGCCACAGGTGGGTTTGTGTCTTTCAGACTCACTTTCAGCTAGAAAGGTCACATATGCAATTTGCTTGAGCATTTAAGTTCAAGGCTGTGTTCCATCCTGAGTGACAAGTGCCAACATAACCAGACACCAGAGGACTTGAATAGAAGAGAATATCCCCCCTAATCCATCACATTGTGATGTTAGGATGAGAGGTAGATTTTTCTATCTACAAGAACAAACATGAAATGACAGTATGATACAGTGATCGCAGGCAGACCTAGGATGACATTAATCTGCATACCCTTTTAACCTGATCACAAGATAAAACTTCCATTCTGATATTTTTTTATGACACATGTTTCCATTATAATAATGCATAATATATAAACCTAAATAATTATGTTGTTGTGGTGAACTCTACATCGATGTCATGAGGTGTATACGGTAGACTAAATTTGTGTTACATTTTTTAATTCCATCTCTGTCCCGACTACCTGTCACAACATCATTATATCAATGTTATGAGGGGTATAGACTAAATCTGTGTTACTTTTTAGTTTCCATCTCTGCCCTGACTATCTGTCACACCATCAATATATCAATGTTATGAGGTGTATAGACTAAATCTGTGTTACTTTTAACTTTCCATCTCTGCCCTGACTAACTGTCACAACATCATTATATCAATGTTATGAGGTGTATAGACTAAATTTGTGTTACTTTTTAGTTTCCATCTCTGCCCTGACTAACTGCCACACCATCATTATATCAATGTTATGAGGTGTATAGACTAAATTTGTGTTACTTTTAAGTTTACATCTGTCCTGACTACCTGTCACAACATCATTATATCGATGTCATGAGGTGTATAGACTAAATTTGTGTTACTTTTTAGTTTCCATCTCTGCCCTGACTATCTGTCACACCATCAATATATCAATGTTATGATGTGTATAGACTAAATCTGTGTAACTTTTTAGTTTCCATCTCTGCCCTGACTATCTGTCACACCGTCATTATATCAATGTTATGAGGTGTATAGACTAAATCTGTGTTACATCTTTTAGTTTCCATCTCTGTCCTGACTAACTGTCCACCATCATTATATCAATGTTATGAGGTGTATAGACTAAATTTGTGGTTCTTTTAAGTAAACATTTTTGCCCTGACTAACTGTCCCAACATCAATATATCAATGTTATGAGGTGTATAGACTGAATCTGTGTAACTTTTTAGTTTCCATCTCTGCCCTGACTACCTGTCACAACATCATTATATCAATGTTATGAGGTGTATAGACTAGATTTGTGTTACTTTTAAGTTTACATCATTGCCCTGTCTAACTGTCACAACATCAATATATCAATGTTATGAGGTGTATAGACTAAATTTGTGGTTCTTTTAAGTAAACATTTTTGCCCTGACTAACTGTCACAACATCAATATATCAATGTTATGAGGTGTATAGACTAAATCTGTGTAACTTTTTATTTTCCATCTCTGCCCTGACTACCTGTCACACCATCATTATATCAATGGTATGAGGTGTATAGACTAAATCTGTGTTACTTTTTTTAGTTTCCATCTCTGCCCTGACTAACTGTCATACCATCATTATATCAATGTTATGAGGTGTATAGACTAAATCTGTGTTACTTTTTTTTTAGTTTCCATCTCTGCCCTGACAACCTGTCATACCATCATTATATCAATGTTATGAGGTGTATAGACTAAATCTGTGTTACTTTTTTTAGTTTCCATCTCTGTCCTGACTAACTGTCCACCATCATTATATCAATGTTATGAGCTGTATAGACTAAATCTGTGTTACATCTTTTAGTTTCCATCTCTGTCCTGACTACCTGTCACAACATCATTATATCAATGTTATGAGGTGTATAGACTAAATTTGTGTTACATTTTTTAGTTTCCATCTCTGTCCTGACTAACTGTCCACCATCATTATATCAATAGTATGAGGTGTATAGACTAAATCTGTGTTACTTTTTAGTTTCCATCTCTACCCTGACTAACTGTCACACCATCATTATATCAATGTTATGAGGTGTATAGACTAAATTTGTGGTTCTTTTAAGTAAACATTTTTGCCCTGACTAACTGTCACAACATCAATATATCAATGTTATGAGGTGTATAGACTAAATCTGTGTAACTTTTTAGTTTCCATCTCTGCCCTGACTACCTGTCACACCATCATTATATCACTGTTATGAGGTGTATAGACTAAATTTGTGTTACTTTTTTTAGTTTCCATCTCTGTCCTGACTAACTGTCCACCATCATTATATCAATGTTATGAGCTGTATAGACTAAATCTGTGTTACATCTTTTAGTTTCCATCTCTGTCCTGACTACCTGTCACAACATCATTATATCAATGTTATGAGGTGTATAGACTAAATCTGTGTTACATTTTTTAGTTTCCATCTCTGTCCTGACTACCTGCTGTCACACAATCATTATATCAATGGTATGAGGTGTATAGACTAAATCTGTGTTACTTTTTTTAGTTTCCATCTCTGTCCTGACTAACTGTCCACCATCATTATATCAATGTTATGAGCTGTATAGACTAAATCTGTGTTACATCTTTTAGTTTCCATCTCTGTCCTGACTACCTGTCACAACATCATTATATCAATGTTATTAGGTGTATAGACTAAATCTGTGTTACATTTTTTAGTTTCCATCTCTGTCCTGACTACCTGTCACAACATCAATATATCAATGTTATGAGGTGTAAAGACTAAATTTGAGTTACTTTTTAGTTTCCATCTCTGCCCCGACTAACTGTCCACCATCATTATATCGATGTCATGAGGTGTATAGACTAAACTTGATTTACTTTTAAGTTTCCATCTCTGTCCTGACTAACTGTCACAACATCATTATATCAATGTTATGAGGTGTATGGACTAAATCTGTGTTACTTTTTAATTTCCATCTCTGCCCCGACTAACTGTCACACCATCATTAGATCAATGTTATGAGGTGTATGGACTAAATTTGTGTTACTTTTTTTAGTTTCCATCTCTGTCCTGACTACCTGTCACACCATCATTATATCAATGTCATGAGGTGTATAGACTAAATTTGAGTTACTTTTTAGTTTCCATCTTTGCCCCAACTAACTGTCCACCATCATTATATCAATGTCATGAGGTGTATAGACTAAATTTGTGTTACTTTTAAGTTTCCATCTCTGCTCTGACTACCTGTCACAACATCATTATATCATTTGTTACTTTAAGATTCCATCTCTGCCTCGACTACCTATGTCACACTGTCATCATGCAAGTCAATTCATAAAATAATTTACATCTTATTCTTAAACATGATTCTCATTATCATCACTTTATATGCAAATAAACATATCATAGAAGCAAACAGCAATATACATTTTAATTTAATAAAAAAAACACATTTTGACGATGACAAAAAGAAAATGCACAAAAATTAAATGAACTTGATTTTAATAGGAAAGAAAAACTATGTGCAGTGCCAATATTGAGGAAAGAAGCAAAGTTACAGCAGAGGTAGGTTGAAATGTTACTCCGAAGTATTTGTGGAGCACACCATGCATCACTAACTAGTGAATCACCCTCCAACGGTTCCAAGCAAGTAATGGAGCATGGAAAATATTGCAATAGTGACATATGCCGGTGTTGCAGGACATACTTACACAAGAGAAAAAGACATTCATACATAAACAAACAAGTGACTCAAATTCAAACTTCTTAGTAGACTTTGTTATTAGAGAAATAGAAAGCCAGCCAAAGTACATAAAAGAAAATAATAAGTATTACTTAAACAAATACATATTTAATACCAAAGTTAATAAGAAAAAAACAAGTCACAAAAATGACTAATTAAGTAAGTTCATCCAGGAGAGGTAAGTGACAGGACAGACAGGTTGTAACAGCAGGTAGCTGCATGGTCGGCTGTCAATCAAAGCGAGACAGACAGCCAGGCGGGGCCGAGAGCAGGAGGGGGTGTGGCCTACCTGAACTGATCCCCCATGTCTATCTGCGGCAAGGTTGGACCCCAGATAGTTACCGGCGTGCCGGGGGGCCTCACCCCATGCATGCCCCCTTTGATTTGAACTTGGCTGAAAAAAGGTAAATTAGTGATAGAAAGATCCAGAGCGTGTTATGCGCGATATACGACACGGTATTACAAAGAGAAGTTGGTCACAGATTTTTGTTTATACCATGAAAAACCCCTATCTGACCTGTTTTATGTTTTTAGATAGACACCTTGACATCCCTGCTCTATCATTGGACACAAAACTGTCTTTCTTATTCAAAAATTTCTGAACGCCCTTGCTCCTCCCTATGGAGTAGTGTAGAAGACTTTTTGACTGGAGAAGACAAGAGAGTCATTGCAGAGATCCAGGTCAATCGTTACTACAATGACTAAGCCTCCAGCAGGCATACAAAAGACTCCCAAAATTGTTTTTAAAATCTCCACACTGACACAATTCCATTCTGTCTGCATTATGTAAATACAGTACGAATCTTGGGAAAGACTGGTGTCACTGCCTCACTGTTTTATGCTAGTTGGAAAATGGATTTTATTGGAGGAGCAAAACATTGTACATACACAGACAGAGGTATGCTGAAGAGCAGGGGTGTTAAGGTCTGGAGATATGAGTTGAGTTTGAAATCCAAATGATCAGCAGTTACCAGTTACACAATCAATACAAAAAACCGTTACACTCACCAATGCTTTGTATTGTAAGCCAGACTGCACATTTTTCTGTTCACCGGAAATAAAAACGTTATAGAAACATAAGTCATCACTTATATACAATTACTTGTATTAGAACACCACAAGCCAATGCTTCCAAAAAACACAAGATTAGGTTTGATTAAAATTGTAACACACAAGAGGGAAATGGAATTATTGAGATCGTCCTTTCAAAACCATCATTACCTTAACATAGCACCTATATATAAACCATCACCAAAATTACTCAAACACAGCAATTACTTACACATGAAACAATATACACCATCACCATGATAACCCTTACAATAGCCGCTATGCACTAACCCTTACAATAGCACCTATGCACTAACCCTTACAATAGCACCTATGTATACCCAACACCATATAAACCATGATAACCCTTACAATAGCACCTATTTATACCCACACCATATAAACCTTGATAACCCTTACAATAGTACCTATTTATACTCCACACCATATAAACCATGATAGCCCTAACAATAGCACCTATTTATACCCACACCATATTAACCTTGATAGCCCTAACAATAGCACCTATGTATACCCAACACCATATAAACTATGATAACCCTTACAATAGCATCTATTTATACTCCACACCATATAAACCATGATAACCTTTACAATAGCACCTATTTATACCCACACCATATAAACCATGATAACCCATACAATAGCACCTATTTATACCCACACCATATAAACAATGATAGCCCTTACAATGACACCTATTTATACTCCACACCATATAAACCATGATAACCCTTACAATAGCACCTATTTATACACCACACCATATAAACCATGATAACCCTAACAATATCACCTATTTATAACACACCATATAAACCATGATAACCCTTACAATAGTACCTATTTATACTCCACACCATATAAACCATGATAACCCTTACAATAGCATCTATTTATACCCCACACCATATAAACCATGATAACCCTTACAATAGTACCTATTTATACCAACACCATATAAACCATGATAGCCCTAACAATAGCACCTATTTATACTCCACACCATATAAACCATGATAACCCTTACAATAGCCCCTATTTATCCCCACACCATATAAGCCAGGATAACCCTTACAATAGCACCTATTTATACCCACACCATATAAGCAATCATAGCCCTAACATAGCACCTATATACACCCAAACCACAAACTAAAGTTACCATAATCCTAGAGTATCAGATCACCCCCACCCCCTTTTTCTAAAACATCACCCAAATGAACCCCTCTCCCCAATAACCTTTTTTACACCAGTTTTATTCCCTCAAATGATGGAACTAAGCACCTATTGACAGCTATCTTCCTCTGTAGTAAACTGCATGATTTATTAGACCAACAAATAAACACTGCTTTAATCTAAAGAAGGGAAAATACCCAAAATTTGATCAGGAATGCCACAACTGTAGGGCAGGTTAACGATGAAGTACTGACAATCCTTAACTTCTATCCTCAAACCTTAATCTTTATCCACAATTATGTAAAAGGCTACTACAGCATATAAAGGTCTAGAGATAAACATCACCTTATCCCTGACAGACAAGTTAAACATGCCCCGGCCCTGGAGTCCCATGCTCATGTCATGCACCATCTCCCACCCACAACACAAGCTCACCACCCAAGGAAATTTCACAAAACACACATATCCATGACGTAGATGAAATATGCCCCTACATGATAATGATTGTATAAGTGTCACTTTGAACATGAGATGAATTCTGTTTTGAAATTGTTAGGATTATTGATTGATGAACATGCAGGAAAAAAATGCATTCAACATGTTTATGACAGAAATCTGTGAGAACCTCCGAGAACATGTATCACTGTTTTGTTCAAAGAGGACAGCGACCTCAGTTTTTGTTGATATAACCACTATAATCAAACAATGACACACAAGTGCATCATTTGAGACTGCTATTTAACAAAAACATTTGTTCTGCTGAAATTCACAATTATCAATATTCAATTTATATTAAAACCAATAAAAGTTGTGTCATGAAATATTTTGCTTCTTTTAAAATTGTCAGTGTTTATTCGTTAATCAAGACGGACAAGTATAAGATCAGAAGAATAAGAAAGATTAATGGCATCAATTATATCAATGCCCTTGATTTCTGAAAAGAAAATTCTTCACCAATTGTAAAGAGCATAAAATACAGAGTTATGTGAGCCTAACGTCTAGTGTTCCCTACTTGAGCGTCTTTAGGTGGCAATATTTAACATCATGAACGTGTTATTATCAACGAATCATTGGCGAAGACCAATAAAACAATTGCAGTAGAATTTATAGTTCATGGCATAAATCAAAATAATAACTTAGTCATTGTTGGAGTGCATCAAGACGTGATGCCTATTATAGGGATAGAGTTTCTCTCCCATATTAGAATAGCCCTAGAAAACATAGGCTTGCCGTGAGGAAAAAATAACATTAATAATGAATAGAATCGGAATAGTGATAATCCTGACAAAGGATGAACAGCAGTTGTATATGGTGCATGTACATGAATGATAACTGTTATGATGAAAACAATACAAAATGAGCATGCATGATGGATGATTGTGGGGATGGAGCATGTGGGGGCGGGGGCATACAGCAACAGTTATAGCTTTGGGGTTGTGTGCCACAGGCCAGACAATTTATTTCGAGGACAGGCTCAATATCTGTAAACATAGGTGACTCAAGGTCAAAGCACTTGTGAAATGATATGTCAATAACATCAATAACTGGTACCTGTTCAGTAACACAGGATAATGAATAGCCTTTCCAATCCACAATGACGTTACTTAGTACACCAACACATCCAATTAACACCAGAGTCAACGTGGGATTCACCAGCAACCAATTATCAAATGAATGACAAACCACCATCACCACCAATCTATATCAAACCAACTCTGTATCCGTAACCTATGGACATATTTTTGCTTGGTGAACCTCTTCAATACAAAGCATTGGTGAATGTGTTTTGTTCTTAACTTCCATAAGTTATCAGATTTAGGAGTAGAATAGAAAGTCTAACATCTTAACTTCCATAAGTTATCAGATTTAGGAGTAGAATAGAAAGTGGAACATGAAGTGTTTCAATCACACATAATATAGAAAGTCTAACATGGAGTGATTCAATCACAAACACTTTAAATATAATCGCAAACACAATTCATTAAATATTTTACATTAACGTGTAAATACTTGTAAAAGTTAGGTTCTAAATGATAATAACAAATTTAATCCTAAACAGTTCATTGTGATTGAAATTATTAAATATGTATTTTATCATGTTACTAATTACACTTATATTTACAAATTTCAAAAAATAAACGAAAAGATTTACCACATGTTCAATCATTCTTAGGTTTATATAAGTTATCTTGCAATGGAGAATCTGCATTTACCATCTAGACATTTGAAGTCTATCCATCGCCTGTAAAAAGTGCATCTTGTTTGAGAAGCTATCTCCTTCGGAGCACCTGCTAACCTTCAAAGTTAATGCTAAGCTGCCATTTGTACCCATTGATACATGAAGCTTCAGCATGTCTTCTCGACATGTGATCTGGTTCATCGCCAATTTGTACCTAACAATATCGCACACAAAACATTTCCTCGGAACAGTAAACAAGGGATCTGTCTATTCCCTGGAGCGAAGTGTGAGACATGTATTCCAAACATTTATGTGTGTGCAGTTGTAATGGATAATTAAACTACACTAATGTTTGCAATCAATGTTAGAAACAGAAAATGAGGATGGCTGCAGCACTTCCCAGAGTTCAACACTCTTTGTTTCAAAAACAAGGTCACCTTGTACAAAATGTGACATACAAATACATGAAACAGCATGTGTAACAACAGTTTTTCTAAAATCCGGTTTACTGGCAAATTATGTCATTATTCAGACCCTGTGATAAAAACACAATCATTTTATAAAGCCACTGTTGTGATTACTTTTAAGCCACTTTGGTTAAGATATACAGCTGATCCCGAGGTCAATATACACTTTTTATATACATGTAAGTCATGCGTCAATTTGATCATATGAAAAAAAGTAAAATTGACGACATTTTCTAGGATATATCCTCTATACCGACTTGTCATTCTGTCTACTACTTCATGTTATCCCCCTATATCCTGTATTAAAACATGCTCTTTTTTTAGCAAAATCTCCATACTACCAACGGAGCCAAAAGGTCCATACAACTGACCAGGCAAACTGTCACCGATAAATGTTTTAATATGCACAGCATTACTGATGGTTTTCCTTATGCGTGTAATAAGGAAACAGTGATATTTGTAGGTTGAACTGGTCATGAATCTGTGTTGAGTCGATATATATACACAGCCAGAACACCTTCCAGCAAACACTGTCCTCCCCTAAATGTTACTACATGTATATACAATAGGCCATCAGCCGATAATTCTCCAACTGCAGAGACAGACGTATGAATAATTTAAAGTACCACTATCTTTTGACTCTATAAATATCTACCCCATTTGTTTTGAACACAAATTGCAATTGAAGAAATATGTTGTGGCTGAACATGTCCTTGTACACCATTAAGACTGTTATGTCTGTTCTAAGGATTGGCTGTTATGTAATACTAAGCATTGCGAGACCTAAGTACCCCACCACCATATCCAGATATCACACATCACCTACACACTTCCCACCCATAGAAACTGTGTAGTCAACAAAACATTGTTTTTATCATCTAAGCTGGCAACGATGTCTCAAATAGCAGGATGTTCACAGTTTATATTATATAATATCAAAGATCATACACATGTTGTGGTTTTATCATGTATATATCCATCTTGGTTTATAAGAAAATTTTATTAGCAGGCCAGAAGAATTTAATTACCTGGTTTGCCTTTTGAGAATTCATATTCTCTTAATTAATAAGAAAAATCTTATATCCATCCACAGAAAAAGCAAAAATGATGAATTCACAATTCTATTTAAACATTCTTATTCCTTAATTTAATTACATGGATACCTCAATACTGATTTGCCATTATCCTCTTTCTTCTCACTACATTCAGTTTGACTACAACGACTCCAACAGTCTTCTAACAACTCAATACTTTTTCACTCCGATTTTTTTTATCAAGGTATGGTCACGACCCAAACATAAAGTAATCCTATAACAATACATAACAGATCACTAGACCAGTGTACAGCATGCCTCGATCCTCAACTACAGTGACAACTGTATATCTCACGGTCATCTCATCAACAAGTACAAGGAACTTTTGTAGAAAGACGGACATCACTGTAAGGTGATATGTTCTAAAAGAAAAGACTGCTCTCCCTATTTGGAGCTTGAAGAAGCCCGATTCTTCTGGATTTCGTTTATTCCTCTTGTAAGGATCGGGGCCTCCAGGAAGGTCAGTTAGTGTTTTTTGAAAGAGCAGTGTTAATGTATTTATCAGACGTTATGACTTCAAACTATACAATATGTCTTGTTATCATTGATAGAATATAACTTGTTCAAAAGATGACCATATCTGTTGATAAAAGGATCTTGTGGAGTGGTGGCTATGCTGCCACATGCACAGCTGCATTCAGGGGAGACAATCACATGCAGCATGCATTCCAATTAACTTCCAATGTATTACAAACTTTGTATTCTATTTCCTCTAAATTGATCAATAACCAGATACAAACATGAATTCAGAAATTTTGTTTCAGGTTCTGTTGTTACAAGGATGCCAAACATGACATCAGAGAAACAGTGTATTTCTAAAAAGTTATTCTTTTCTATCCTTACAACTCCAAAACGACTAAGGTTATAGGTTGTGGAAAATATAAGGACAAAATACAGTTAGGTTTTCGAGACAATTTGCAAGGAAATAATATGTATGCAAGGCAACAATACACAATAAGCACATGCAGGTATGCACATTTGCAAGTGCAACACAACATCATTTCATATCTAAATACATCATAGTAAATCTTACACAAGGATGTTACAAAGGGATTTCATAGTCACAACAAAAACAGTGGCTGGACTTGTTAGTACTTCAGGCATCATTATAAAGGCAGCATAATTATATGTGGATGAAAAGGGAAGAAGGTCTTTAAAGATGTTTTGAATTAATATTTAATATTGTGGAAATGTCTATACAACTTACAGATTTTGTTCTGCACTACAAGGAGATAGCTAGGATAGGTTGTGGACTGTATATAACATCTGTACTACATCAACAGCAAGTTACATCAACAGCAAGTTACTGACTAAAGTGACAGCATGTCAAATCACAATTTACACTGAATAACCGAAATGTAAATACACCTGTCAGCATTTCAAGAAACACATGACTGTTGGCTTCAGATAAGTATTTCATTCAATTTCTTCCGAGACAGGACAAAAGCACAATTTATATCTTTGGACTTAAAGTCATTACACTTATTTCTCAAACATTCAAATTTTGAATAAATTTAAGGAAAAACTTCATCAACATGTAAAACGTATGCACAGGTAATTTTATTGAAAATTTGAATGTCAAGGGGATTACGAATGTTTACACTTAATACTACAAACCTAAATACAGCTGGTAAGTTGTGAAATGTAGCATTTTGATACTTAACCTAGGAGAAATCTGATGGGGGATACATAACATGCCAGAACGTGAACATTACAGGTTCAGCTAGACCGTTCAACCCTGAAAAACATTTGAACTCCTCCAATTCAAAGGTTGGAATAGTTCATTATGAAATTTCAGGGGTGAATGAGTTGATCTCGCATGTATTAAATACACAGTGTGACACTGAATGATGGACAGAAATACACGAACAAAAGCGGTGGTAAACATGTTTATCATCTGTTACACCCTGACTGGTCAGTGTAGGTTCTCCTCATCAAAATAGTACTTTTACCTATCCAAACCACTCACCAGATTACACTGGCCTTTACAGAACAACAACAAGCTGGGATTTATAACATTTCAATTTTTGATCTCAAACAATTTTAAATTAGAAAGTTGGAAAATGACTATCTTGAATACCCCTACTTCTCAAAGTAACTGTTAGTTTATCTATCATGACTTATTTTTTGAAAATGGTCCCAACAAGTCAGCCATACTTAGGGTTTGGCAGTAGTTACTTAAGAAACAACCAGAAATTGTAAAGCTGATATTAGACACATTATTAAGATTTGTCCCTTACAGTGTTACACCAAGACCAGTCAGGTTAGCCAGAATGTCTCTATATAGCTTGTTAAAAAGAGTCTGCATACGTTCAGATTGACAAAAGTCAAATACAGTTTGAGCTGAAAATTGTACAATAGTTGTATGGAACAGCTTTGATATAACAAACCTAACAGCAAGACAACAGAGTTTAACAATTCACACACGATGTAAGTACAAACGACAGAATCAAGCAGGATTGGGTCTTTTATTTTCTTTCTTTCTAAAGATCTAACTGTTAACTGTTACTGGTTTCCTATTCAGTCCAGCGATTAGTCTAAGCTTGCAGTGGTTAGCGTAGTATCTCCACCCGTATTGCTGGACAACAAGACATTGTATATATATATATATGCCTTTTTGCATTCAACCCTGTCCTGCACCAGACATCCCATTACCATTTTAAAAATAACTGATTGTTAGTAACATTTCATCCATTATCCCATGTATCATTACACTGACAGCAGCTAAGCGTTTCATATTATAAAATGTAACATATGTGAATGTATAAATACAAAATATTCATGTTTAATGACATGATAGCGAATGCGTACCTGTACCACATTAAGGGGGAGACAACTCACCTTATTTGCTTGCGCGTGATGCCTCTCTCGGCCATTGTGATCCTCATTCTTTGGTGGATTGTCTTGAGCATTGATTGATGGCTGATGGAAGGGCAGAAATGGATTAGTGACGGGAAAATATTTCTGGAATATCTTATATGGATATACTACAGGTGAGGATTCTTATAATACAGCCACCTCCCATCAGTGTAGACCATGCAAAATAATGCCCGGAGTTACAAATACTTCTGATTAATCAAAAACTCAAATAATAAGACCTTTTTCCCAGAAATGACTCTAATTGTTCAAACGCATCAATCTCCTTATGACCTTTGACATCAAATGCATCAATCTCCTTATGACCTTTGAAACATTCTCTTCCCTGTAATAAGTATCTAAAAAGCAGAAACACTAAACCATGCAGTGCTTTTGTAGAATTCACAAAGAGAGTTCAGCTCCAATCGTCAAAGGTCATATGAAGGTGATATCGTATTTATTAAGAAGTGTCAACACATTAAGATGGTCAGTGAGTTATCTTCTCTCGAGTTCAATGGTAAGTATAAAATCAAGAGGCATGCATTGATTTTTTTTTAAATTTCCTGTAAATTAAAAACAAGTCCTTATGGTGATGTGTTTTGTTCTCTAAAAAGTCCCTTAAAATATTACCTTTAATCTCAAAAAACAATAACATTTTGCATAATCCAAATAGAGAGTTACAATACAAATGCTTAAAACTACTGTTATATTTGTACCATAAGGTATCACTTATTACATGAGATTCAGTATTGCATACAATTGTTTGACAAAAAACTCAGCATAAAAGTGTTCAATCAAGATGGTTGTGTGAATGCTGTTCAACAACAAGCGTAAGCACGTAGCAAGAAGCTGAGAGGGAAACTGTTAAACACGTGTGTGGTCGAGATGGTTGCAAACATGATGTGATGATGTGATGATGGCAAGGGATTGGTTGTTTCAATCTCAGCTAATTAACACCTTGTGAAAATAGATTGCTGGCTTTACCTTATACACTCACCATCCCAAAAATACGAATATCAGAAAGATGACAGGTTCTTTCAGTTAACAATTTACAATAACACTTCAATTTTGATGTATCCAAAACTGGAAATCTGAATATTCACTTGACCTAAATAGCTAAATATGGCAAAATGCACTAACTAATATATGAGTCATTATCAGAAATTGTCAATATTGCTGTCCCCTTACTTTTAACATTTTTTTTAGTGTTCAGAATGCACAGATAGTACATTGTTTTGATTTTTTTAATAAATATAGACAAAAAACTATATTTTAGCATTAATTAAAAATGCATTTTGTAAAAAAAATAATATTTATGAACATTTATAAATATGTTACATGCAAAAATAGGGGTGTCCCTGGCAAGAATTCCAATTTTTCAATGAGAACAAATACAATTAAAAGGCATTACCGAATGGTTATTTCCATATTTTCTGTTAGTTTTATGCTTAAATTTTGATTATGAAATGTCAGTTTACTTAAATAATCTGGAAAATGATAATATAAAACATAATATATGTCTGTCTCCAGTTAAAATGTCCATTATGTTACCACAACACATTTGGTTCAGTTAATGCAACATTAACAGGTATTTTTTAGTAACACATAATGCATCATATGGAGCTTTACTTCCTGTTCATGGACAAACAGTTGCAGAGCAGATAAATATGAAAGAAGTCCAATCAGCGATCATCAAAGATAAGCAGGACTGGATGTTTATTTTTTTGATGTCAATATTGTTACTATGTTATTAGAAATAAGATGGCATAATTCAGTATTATTTTGGATGCTTTAAAGAGGAAATATTACTAAGTTTTGATAAACATCTGCACTGTAGGTCAGATATGCAAGGTATGGAACAAAAACATTTAAACGTTAAAATATTTCTGTTATGTTATGGTCTATTATGTTACCAAGGAAAAAGTAACATTAAAGACAAATTGACAGTAACAACATTGACAAATGCAGAGAAAAATTACTGTCTAACAAACACAAAAATAGATATGAATAAAACAATTATCCATTTAGAGGAATTATAAGCAGTTAAAAAAGGATAATATATTATTTCTCATATACAAGTAGATAATCAATGCAAAAAAGGCTCATTTTCATCACAAGTAACACAACTGACACTACGATTTATGTTACTGTAACATGGGGTAACATAACAGACATATACATGTAACAACATGGAACAAACCAATATTTTAATGTGTTTACAGACAGAAGTCAGCACATTTATCTTAGAAATATGACTATATTATGTTTATTTTTGAAAATGCAACCCACATATGTTCTGTAATTGGTAAAAAAATGGAATTAATCTTTCTTTTTAAAATTTTGGTAACATAATGGACATTGTTTTTGTGTTACTTTATAAAATGGTAACATAACGGACATTAGTTGGTAACACAACTAAACAGTACACATTCATTTCTTTTCAAACGTGTCTTTACAGATAGTTTTCGAAGTATTTAGATTGAGATATAACTCTCATGACACTAATTTCGACTCTAAGATTTTGTTTGTTTAGTCTGGCTCAAGTTTCCCACTCTAGGACAACATTTTCAAAACTAGATAACATAACAGACACACATACTTGTGTTACTATAATGGGGCTAACACAATGGACAAATATCGGTAACACAACATACTTTAAATAATGGTTTTGTTCAAAATTATGTGTGTTTTATGAATTTTACATTTTGGAAACGTAACGATGTCTGAAGTATAATGTTTGGGAATCGCATCATGTAATGCTTTATTAGATTTAATGTAAATTGTCCTGACTAGTGCAATATTTTTAAATCAAGGTAACATAACAGACAAACATAATTATGTTATGATTAGGAATGGGAGGGGGTGATGCTATGAGGGTGGATGAGGGGGTAATGCTATTAGGGTGAATGAGGGGGGTGATGCTATGAGGGTGGATGAGGGGGGTGATGCTATGAGGGTGGATGAGGGGGGTGATGCTATGAGGGTGGATGAGGTGCTCGAACAGGGGTTGATGCTACGAGGGTGGATGCGGTGCTCGAACAGGGGGGTGATGCTACGAGGGCGGATGAGGGAAGATTGAATGATTGCGAACTATATAGAAATGTTGGAGATTATGTTGTTGTTCGATATCAAGGGGAACCATTCCCTGGCATTATTCGGAAGATTGATGAGGTCAGAAAGGAATTGTTTGTTGAATGTATGAAGAAAAAGATGAAAGGAAAAGAAGTGTTGTTTTCTTGGCCGCAAAAGAAAGATCAATGCTGGTATCGGTATGAAAGCATTGTTACTTCTATCCCACCACCTGTAAAGATGACAAAATCACTGTTCATTGTAAAATCATGGGTGCAAATAATCTCATGAGGTGGCATGCTTTGTATTCGTGTTTAAACTGACCTGTGTTAGTAGTGATACTACTAAAATTTGATCTAAATCGTCTACACATTATTAATATTAATAGGTTCATGTATGAGCATTTAGTTTCACATACCTTCATGTACAATTCATCCAGTTTGATGTTAAGCACTGTTCAATAGTTCTTGTTACCCCTAATGGCGCGTTCGTGTAGAGTACACGAGTATGTATTTCATATCTTTCTTTTGTGGCCAAGAATTTAGTTAATATGATCCTTAGCAAATTTTAGATTATATGTGCGTGTAAACGAAATACTTTCATTTTATTTTAATTACACAAATAATGTTTTTAATTGTTAACTGTGTGTCCCCAATAAGATTTGTAACCAGAAAGTATAGTATCACCTTATTATAGTTTTATAATTCCTTGGGCAGGAAAGTAGTAGTGTTGGGAATCGGTTTTTATTTCATAATCGATGATCAGCTGTAATCGGTGCAAGTTTTTTGATCGATTTTCGATTATTAATCGGTTACTGAGGTAATCCAAATTGTATTGGTTTGCAATGTAAATTTAAAATCAAGGGTTGACTTATGTCCACCTGCTACTAAAAACCATTTTATACACTTTGAACTTTAAGCTCCAACTTGGCCAAAAGACATATTTGTTAGGAAAATTTACCTCCTAACCAAAGCTTAAGTAGTTTTTTAGGTGGATGCTAATCAGATAGCAATAGAAAACAGCACGCAATAATTTCAACCGATTAATTGATTATGGGATTTCATAATTGATTAATCGCAATTGGTTGTGTAACCGATTATTTTTCGATTTTAATTGATCATCGGGACAACACTAGAAAATAGTAAACTTTTTTTCAGCAACTATTGATCCGGTCTGTAATCGTGATATGCATCATCCTTATATAGAGCATAGTATGTGCAGCAGCAGTTTAAGTAATGTTAAAAATCCTGGAAGAAATTGATACATACTAAATATTGAAATGCTGTCGCGTCATTCATTGTCGGCTTACATATTGATGTACTATCTACTCTTGTTTTACTAGTAACACAACGGACATTTCATTTGCATTATAATTGTCCATTGATTTCAATTAAATGTCCATTATGTTACCAACGTCCATTATGTTACATGCAATGTCCATTATGTTATTTGAACTAAATATCCCAATACTTTTTGCAGCATTGCCTATTTTTGGTTCTTTTTGCCCATGGTATATCAATTTATAACCATAAGCTAATATATTGTTGTTTCATAAACAAGCATATGCATTTACGTTACAAATTCTATTCGGAACAGACCCCGTCACTATGCAATTACCTAAGCCATTGATATAGTTTGATTTTTGCCCTAACGAAAAAACTGAGGAAACTATTGTCCATGTCCTACTTATGAAATTGTACTGCTGTTCTAAATTAAACAAAATCTAAGTAAAAGTTCCTGTTTTTTACCTATCAAAAATCAATTTTAAAATTGGTAACATAATGGACATTTTTACCTTAATTACCAAATTTCCGTTGCTATGGTAACCAAACAGGTAATATTTCAGATTTCCGGTATTGAAATAATGAAATACTGATATATGTACTTCAGTTTGGTTATATAAAACTGATTGTTTATTGATGTTGTTTTTGCATTTTTTTCAATTCAGAAAATTGACATTTTCTGATAATGACTCATATACAGTTAAGCAAAATATGAAGACTTTATTTCCAAAAAATCAATAAGTTTAAAGGATCTTATTTAACAGAGGATATTCAAGTATTTGAGTGGTGTTTTTTTTTGGTGTTAAGCTAAGACTTATGAAAACAACCAGATCCCTCGCATGGCATTGCCCCCTACCTGTCGACCCGTCCAGTCGAAATCCCAGTCGCAGTCATAGCTCATACGTGCCATGAGGTCTGTGAATAATTTCCTAAGGTAATCGTAGTCTGGAGTCTCAAAGAAATCCAGTCTCCTCACATACCTTAGATACGTTGATAGCTCATCTGAAATAATTCGGTATGCAACCATCTTCATAACATGTTCTTCTCATGATTAACAAGCTCATATGAACATCACCGTAAAAACAACAGTCTATCTAGAAATTGATAGGAAAATCTTATTTTCTTACTTAATAACTTTTCAGATCTTCCCTTCTGAATTTGTAAAACAAAATCATAAACGATAGCTGTTTTATTTCGTTACTTGGAATTGGAAAAACATAGAAAGAGTAAGCTTATCATGCAGTGAAGATCATAATTTGCCGATAGAATTAAAATTGATGAATTTGACCCGCCAGTTTTAGGGATACAAACCATTGTTGAGAAACTTAAACCTTTTCCAGGAGTGAAGATTTGAATGATTTTAATACTTGATTTTGAATCAGAACTATCATCTATTTTCTAAATTATTGTCTTGCTAGCCAAAGATAAACAACTTTTGTTAAATCTTATTACTTTAAATCTATTTTTTTTAATTTTGAAAATAAAATTTTACATTCGGAGACTTATAGATAATAGATCATTGCAAATTTCTGATATCCCATGTGCATCACTTCTGTTCCACAGTTGGACACAACAATATAAGCTCCATGATTTTTCCTTGAAACACAGAACGTTGAAACACAAAAACACAACCTTCCAAGGCTTAGAATTACCTGGGAAATTTTCACATAACACTTCTATGGGAGTAGCCCTCTTTGTATCACCAATCTTTTGATATCTTTCTTTGAGTGTGTCGGCTTTTAAGCCCTGCCAGGGCAAACTTCCTCGGAGAAAATACATGAACATGTGCCCGAGTGCTTCAAGGTCATCCCGTCTACTTTGTTCTGAGAACAGAGAAATGTAATGGACATTGTTTTAAAAACAAATTAATGATAAAGTTAATAATTAGGGTTTTATTTTTTTCTCAGCAACAAAGAGGTAAAAAATGATATTTCATCCGAGACCACTAGAATGTCAACTGAAAATACTATTCAAAATCTGGAATACCAAAAAAATAAGTTATATTATGTAAATTACAGCAAATCCGGCTTATAGATAATCACATCTGATCTTTTTTTTTCTTTAATAAGGTCTGGAAAATATATTACAGACAAATAAACGTGTAGTTGTACACTAATCCAAAATTTCCTGAACTTAATCTTAACAATATAATTTACAATTTTATCTAGTGCTTGAATATTTGTCAGTAAAATTAGATTTTTTGTAATTTCTATGGACCTGGGATGAACTTTCTCTCACCTTTTCCTAAATGAGTGTTGATGCTCATGTAGCGGGCGGTGCCTGTGAGGCTCTTGTGCTCCCTGTAGGGGATGTGCTTGTGAGTCTCCGGATCAATATATTCCTTTGCTAAACCAAAGTCTATAATGTTTATGATATGCTGTTTTTTTGTTGATTGCCTTCCTATAAGAAAGTTTTCTGGTTTAATGTCCCTGTAGATCAGATGCTTGGAGTGAACATATTCCATTCTTGTAATCTGAAAGAGATTTTAAGATGAATCAATACTGAATCAATATTCTTTACAAAATCAACCTCTTCAAATTACATCTACAGCAAGTCATGTACATAATTTTCTTTTTCGCGTGGGCATGATGGGGAAGTTTCCTATTAAATAACCAATAATTATTTCCTAAGTTTCAGAATTTTATGACAACTGCTTCATCCATTGCTCTGTTATACATGTCTGTTGGAACATTATATCTAGCTAAACAAACACATGTCCATGTTACAGTATAGGGTACATTTTTAGCCATTATACTTTAATGTAAATTTTGTATCTTACAACTTGAAATCATAAAATAAATACATAATGCTGTCACTATGTAAATAAGTTTCATGGAAATTGTACCACAAACAAGTACACTGGAACAATGACACAGTTTTATGTAGATATAAACATACTAATGGTGACCTTGCCTTTCGGTGTTAAAGCTACCCTAATACTTAACATCTGTCTGAAGTTGCATGGCAATACAACCACTACACCAAGACTTTGTTTACATTTAAGGTAATGGAATTTCTCTATTTATAGTACCGATGACTTTGACCTTGGGTTCAAAAAACAAAATGCAGAAATGTAAACTCCTTTAAGTTACCTTGACACTTAACCTCTATATTAACCTCCATGAATTCTATCAAAATAAAGGTGAATAATGATGATGAATCTGTTAACGACTTTCTATTTATAGTAACATTGACCTTGGGTTCACAATGCTAAAACACACTCATTCAAGCTATCTTGATTTTTCATCTTTTATGAAATTTCATGGAATTTAAAGCAGAATTGAAGGTGCTACAAAGATGACATCACTATGTGGCAGACTATAGACAAAGACAACACTGTTGTATAGTGCCCAGTTTCGTGGCAGAGGTATAATAAACCATTGGCTTGAAATCTGACACTTAGGTATTTGAAAAAATAATTGAGAGCTTATGGCTACATTTGGTAAAATTGCACTATGTTAGATGGATATGTATATGAAGTGGATGTATATTAATTATATATAAGCAGGTTGCGTTGAAATAGAGTTTTGTCTGCTCTGCAAGGTATCAATTAAGTGCCATTTATGTGGATATGTATCTTACTTTTGGACACGTAAGGTGCAAAGTAAAACAATGCACGGTATTATCCCTCTCCTATTTAAAGTTAGGCCCTCCATGGCTATAAACATATAAATTTAAACCACAAAGGAGCCAAACAACCTTGGATCCAGTTGAACATGACATTAGTGTCATATTACAGTCCTAGCCTTGAATTCTATGGCCTACCAACCATTACTCTGGCTTTTAAAGTTTTACCTATTCAAAATTCATGAGTGAGTAATCTTAAAACCGTGTCTTTCCTTTTAAAATATTAAATGTTTGTTATCAATGCCCGATCTTTTTTATGCAATAAAAAGTATGACCATTTGAACACTGACAAAATGTTCCAAGGTTAAGGATGTTGACGGTCTATGTTTCATCAAGACTCTCACGTTTAAGGTTGTTGTCCCTTTAGCATGGACCTCACAATGCCAGTAATTATAATCTTAAAATATTCAATGTATATCAATGGAGTATTGCATTAAACTTATGAAAAAATTGACTTATGTCAAAGTGCAGGATTTCAGCAAACACTTTCACCATTTTTTTTACAGTAAAACCATTTGGACACAATTCTTCAAAAAAAAAAAGCTTTCAAATCTATTGGACCAATATTTAGCTTATTTGAATGCAAATAGCAATTGTGTACAGTCTGTTTCTTTAGCTTGTGTGAATGAAAGAAGAACTGATCTTCTGCTGGTAGTTAAATCCACAGTACATAATTTGTTATACATTTGTATTTTTGCCAACATCTAATCAATATACTGTAAAGTTCCAAGAATATCATAGCTTTTTTAAACGATATGCAAAACCAAATAAGAAGGTAATCAAACACAGAAACAACTAATATAAGTTTAATACTTACAAGTTGTACTGCTATCATGAGTACAGTTTTGAGAGAGAATTTCCTATCACAAAGGTCAAACAGATCTTCTAAACTTGGTCCAAGTAACTCCAGCACCAGTGCATTGTACTTCCCACAGGGTCCGAAGTAGTAGACATTTGGCACACCCTCTGAAACACCGCAAACACAAAAGATGTCAAAACAGAATTTGTTAATTTGCAGAGAGATTTGATCTTTGAAATAAATTTTGGGAAAAAGAATTTCTACAAAAGGGTACAGTAATACCTGCATACAACACTCCTCACTTAAACTGTCATCTTATTTATCACGAAGATATTCAAGGTCTCCATTTTCATCTATCCCTATCCTTTTTCTTCACTCCGTAATACCTCTTTCCTGTTTAACTGTAGACTGGCTACCAGCCTGTAAGTTTTTATGAAGAATTTCTCAACTGCATTTTACCAAAAGCTTATCTCCCCCTAGTTTAGAACTTCGGATCAGACATCCAAGTGATCAAAATTATTAGAGTTAATTTTCTTCTAAATAATTCAATATTCTAGAGACAGGGGCCAGTCTAGTTTAATTGTAAAACTCCTTCATATGCGAACTTTTCTCTGGACAACTGATGGCAGTATACCAAGATTTACATATTTATAAATAAACTGTATACTTGAAATGTACGACTGTGTGTAATATTTCATTTCACAACTTTAAACCTTACACTTTTATGAAGATATGAAAAACAAGAATTCATCGAAGTAACAGGACTTACAGAATATGATAGATAAGATATTTTCTAAGACAGAGAGTAATTTGAGCCTCAGTGAAAACAAGATCCTATGTTATATGATGAACACAATCCCTAGATGACTCATCTAGTGAGAGCCTATACTGAGACAACCACAGGACACCAAAATAGATTAAGGCTAATCAAAATCATGCTCTCTAACAGTTTTATTGAGAACACTAAGTAATCATTACATTTCTTTTTCATCCATTCATGATTAGGTTATGTATGGCAACCTCTACTCAATTCAGCTAAATCCATTCCAAGTGAGATATTAACATTTTACTTTCAAAACTAATATAACGGAAATATCAACTTTTTGGGGACACTTTCATTATTGCAGAACATAATTTCATGTGGTAATTCCTAAGTATTTTCATAGATATTTTATGACAGTATTTTAGAAAATCCTATATTCTTTCAGAATAATTGAAAATAAAAAAGGATTTTTTTTTAAACTTCGATACACCACTAATTTTCCCCAACTTAAAGATTGGAATTTTGAAAATACCCAGGAAAATTCATACTATCGGAAAAGAATTATGCTGAGATTAGGTCAGAAACACATCCAAGAGTGTTCCAAATATAAAGTTACCATTATACTCTGTCAATAGAAAACTAGCCGGGACATGACACAGACTGTACATACCCTGTACAAAGAAAATTATTTGCATTTAATTTGTTTGCACAATCATGTATCAAAGCCATGGCTTCAAGATTTGTCCTTTAATCTTCTCTACTTTTCATCATTTTTTTTGCAATAGCATCAAGGTGAAAACAAATACAAGTATGAGGTTTTCCTTTGGGTTAATTAGATGTAAATGTAATAAACAGCGAGTCTACAGGTCTCGGCTCAGAAATCACTGACAGTTAGTATATATAACAGTGGTAAATCTTCAAAAGAAAACTCCAGCAAGACAACACTACAGATATATAAAACACTAGTAGTATGACTAATGAATTAAGAGACCTCCTTCACTACGAATACCACACAACAAACTTTCAATTGTCGTGATCTGGATAAATCTCACTGGGTCTACAGGAATGAAAGCTTAGATGAATTCATACAAATCTTTACAGTGTATTTCTAAACATAAATTCAAATTTCTATTCAACATTGCCAAACAATATGTATAATACAAAACATTAAACATTTAATATGTGTACCTATTGTACCATTGTCACAACTTGTCTGACCAGAGCTAAATATAAAGCACCCGACCAGTGTATATACATACAAAGAATAAAGGAACAAGACTGAAGTGTTGTCCACTTCTCCCATCGTTACATGTATACTGGGCCGATACACAAAACAAATACTGCTGGTCTGGAATGCTATTAAGGGATCTTCTATTTATCACATGGAGCCAAGATATCCAGTTTACTTTCGAAGTACACAGCATAAATGAACATTTTACTGGAATTTTTTAAAGTTCACAAGTTTACAACAATACCTTGTAATCAAGCACCAGTTATTTTTGTTAAAAATAATATTTTGCTTATACTAGATTGGTTAATCAAATACGGATATGGCCATTAAACCTGTAGGGGAACTGACTTTCTAGTTGTGATGCAGATGCAGTGCAGTTGACAGGTAAAACATATAGATCTAGAAAGTGATGGAGTCAGGATTATGACACAAGATGTCAACCTGCCAGACCTCAGGGGTACAATAGGTCTGGGCTATTACAAATATCTCCTTGACCTCAGGATTGGAGGGCTATTTGTGCCCAGGTTTCTATTATGACTTGGATCACCTTGGTTTCAGGGTTGCACCAAAGACTATCTGAGTTACAACACTGACCGACCTATTGACTTCATAGTTAGGGTTAAGGGTTACATGTTCATCAAGGGGCCTGGGTTATGAATTGACCTCCTGATTAAAGGTAAGACCTACTTGTTATCAGGGTTGAGGTTTAGGGTAACAAGGGACCAGTCATGGCACACGTATATTGATCTACTGTTGTTGATGGTGGTGGTAGAAGGGGTGTGTGTTAAGATTAACAAGGGGGCAGGGTTATGACATGGAGGTTACTTGATACAAGGGTTGGAGATAAGTTAGAAGGGACCAGGGTTATGATGACAACTTAAATGATCATATAGAGTACATAAGGGTAATTAGGGGTCATGGCTATGACAGACTTATCTCACCTAAGGGTTGGTTGTAATTTGGGTATTGGGTTGGGGATATGGCATAAACCTGTCAGGCCTTAGAGGGTTGAGGATAGGGGCTGGAACAGGTCATGTGATATCTACGTACCTGCTTGGCCTAACTGTTTGTAAAACCTATACTCCAGATGTAACTGAGGTGCTCGGGATTTCATAGGTTCCTGAAGAAAAAGAGAAAATTGTACTATAGCTATGTGAATTAGAAACATTTTATTACATTTTGCTTCCATATGCTTGCCAGCTGAAACCTACAATTGAATTAAGACTGAGGTGATAATCAGAAGCACACCTCCCACATAATATGCTATCTCTTCAAGGTACATTATCTATGTGTAAGTCTGGAAGAAAAACAGAAGTATTGTAAAAGGAATCCCTTCTTCATTCATTCTTGTAAGACTGCCAAGTCACCTGGAAATCATATACATATTGTATACCTCACATTTTTGTCATGATTTGAAATATTTGTATGCATGCTAAACAAGAAAACAATCATCCTTTAATTCATAAATACAGCACCTAATTACATATATAAGTGACTTTGTATAGCTCTAGTGTTGCACCAATATTATGGGCGGAAATGTTTAAGTTCCCTTTCCTTAAAATTTGACGATATACTTTCAAATTGGTTATATCATACAGAAAACATCATACAAGGATGTGCATGACTGTTAGCTCTACTTCTCACAAAACACATGAGTTTTACAGACATGTTTGAAGTACCAGACCATGACCTACTAACTGTTAAAACTTTCTTCAGCTTAACAAGCAATTTAATCAAACCTTTCAAAACCTATATCACAACTGCATAAAGAGTTGTAGAGAAATTTATATTTTTGTCTCTCATCAGATGATGTTTCTATATTTTATATTTTATGAAGTTCTACTGGAAATAAAATTGTACTCCATCTTCAGATTGTGACATCATATTTTGTTAAGTTAACTGGGCCCAGTAGTTTACATATTCAATAAACATGTAGTGATGAATCATTGATCCTGATTAAAGTCTATAAATACTATTTCGACACTGTCTCATCAATGTACCATACAATCCCTGATAAAAACCCAGGTATATATACTATTACAAATAAAAAATACTCCCCCAATGCCTCTATTAATTTCTGTACCATACCATTCCTAATAAAGCCCAAGGCATATCGACTCAAACCAATAAATGCTCCCACATTGTCTCATCAACTTGTGTACCATAATATTTCTAATAGAACCCCAGGAATATCAACCCTGATAATACCCCAGGCATTTCAACTCCAACGTTGTGTTTTCAAGTTCTGTACCACTACATTCCTAGTAAAACCCCAGGCATACAGACACTGACACTTTCACATTTTTTTTAAATTTTCTATATGTACCAGCGTTAACCCTGATAAAAACCCAAGGCATACTGATTACAATCAATAAATATGCCCACATCAAATTCTGTACCATAAAATTCCAAGTAAAACCCCCGGCATACAGACACTGACACCTTCACATTGTTTTAAAATTTTCTATATATACCAACGTTAACCCTGATAAAAACCCAAGGCATACTGATTACAATCAATAAATATGCCCACATCAAATTCTGTACCATAAAGTTCCAAGTAAAACCCCAGGCATACAGACTTTCACATTGTTTTAAAATTTTCTATATATTCCAACGTTTACCCTGATAAAATTCTTCGGCATACTGATTACAATCAATAAATATGCCCACATCAAATTCTGTACCATAAAATTCCAAGTAAAACCCCAGGCATATAGACACTGTCACTTTCACATTGTTTTAAAATTTTCTATATATACCAACGTTAACCCTGATAAGAACCCAAGGCATACTGATTACAATCAATAAATACGCCCACATCAAATTATGTACCATAAAATTCCAAGTAAAACCCCAGGCATATAGACACTGTCACTTTCACATTGTTTTAAAATTTTCTATATATACCAACGTTAACCCTGATGAAAACCCAAGGCATACTGATTACAATCAATAAATACGCCCACATCAAATTCTGTACCTTACTTTCTCCAATAATCATATATACTTGAGCAAACATTTATTGATCTACTTCTTTAAGGACAGCACTTGGAGCTTTTGAAAACACTCCGATTTAAACATGCATACAGGCTGATGGATACTGTAGGGTTGTCAACATAACATGGGGAACCGGCCATTATAGGTTGTCATATGTCGATGAAATGCTGTAGAGATTAGGTGGACATTTAAGATGATTAAAGTGTAACCAACATGCGTGTTAACTGGTGAATACCCAGTAAATATCTTAAGTATCAAAACATTAGTATTAAGAGGTAAGCCTGCTGATGTGTGTGAACATGATGTTAAAGCTAGGACACCTGATACTAATAGCAATAGATGTGGGCCTGTAATGATTTCATATTGTCAACTATTTCATTATTAAGAAGAAAAAACTTCACAAAACCCTTATTCAGAAAATTAAATTAAGACTTAGTATATCAATAAACTGTAATGATTGTCCCAAGGCCACTTGAACGAAACACAGTTTGAAATTTAGAAAAAAATCATTAGTAAAGGCATCAGCATGTATATATATATATATATATATATGCATACAAGTGTATACGACTATGTACAGCTAGCCATGCCATATCATACCATAATGTATTGTTAACACTACTAGTGTATTTCTGTCCGTGGATATCAGTGTTCCATCCCTATCCAACAGAATATATTGCTTTTCACACAGATTTAACGGGAAAAAAATCCTCATTGAGTCTTGAGCGAACTTGCTCCAGTCCCAAGACTCCTTTTGTTTGACCCCCCCCCCCCCCTAGAATTAGCCTTGGCAAGAATGGTGAGACTGCTCCCGCAGAATCTGTCCGGATCAATATAAACAGGACAGAACCATAACTGATCTGTTTTTCATTGGATTGTCATAACTCACTGCTGTAACTCTCGTCAAGATATTCCATTTTATCCATATTGACTCGGACTTAATCAGACACTTTGAGGACATTATATTAGAAAAGACTTGATTGAATCTTGGTTCGTGAACTCTTATGTTATATATAATCTTTAAATTGCGTTTTACAGAAAAAATATTTCAAACGCTGATTTTGATTCTCAAAATATGGTAATGACTAGTTAAAGTAATGTATTATGATCACTGTACATTAACACAGTATGATAAAGTTACAGTACCTATAGCCAATTTAAATTCCTCACACTCAGTAACTGTACAACCAAAATATGCAAGGTCATCATGTTTTATGTGAAAACTTAATGAAGCACTGACTGAAAAGAATGTGTAAATTATTTCACCCTAGTTATATATTTTTATTTATTAGATTGAACAACGACTTAATTCCAACTTAAATAGACCCCTTAATTCAGCCTAAAACATTTTTTTCCTTGAATTAAAAACAATACAACTATTCAAAACTGAAATCTTACCACATTTTCTTACATTTACAAAATCTAATCATGTAATCTAAAATAAAAACATGACAACTTTAATTATATACTGTTAATCAGATTCATGATATACAATAAGTATCTTTGTTTTAAAATGGTGCTATTGTTACACCATGTAAACAGACATCACTATCTAGGATATTTACTTATTGCATTGAAGGGAGATTTACAAGCCCCTACAATGAAGAAACCACTTTATAGAGATTGATAAGTGGGTAGATTACAGTTATCACCTATAACACACACAGACGCACTATAAATCGTTTAATATGTAGCAGTGTTTCCCCGCCACATTCAACAAGCTGACACACAAAGCAAAATGACATCCTGTTGAGGATAAAACCACCAGTGAGTTTAGGGAGATGGCGATCACTTACATCACTTACACACTCGCTCAAATGACAGTTCAGAGAGTGTGTGAGTAGAAGACGTCAGCTGCTCAGCCGCTGTACCAAACTGAGGCTAACAATAACGGTACCACTTGTTGACATTCAAGCTGCAGGAACACTACGTACTTACAACAAGCGTTGGTTTGTTTTCACCTTGTGTCCCAGATAAAAACTTGTTTACTGGTAACACAAGGACAACTCCTGCTGATCAATACTCCTAAGGGTACAGTTATATGTTACCTTACCACTAGCTATAGCTACATTACCCAACACCTGATTTAATTAATAGTATTGACACTTTGAATGGTTAGTGTCTATTTGTCCAGTTCTCTCTGTTTACTCTAGTTTGTGTGCTCTGCTCTTGAACATATCTGAAGATGCTGATATTACGTCATCCAAATCAGCACAATTTTTAGAGCAAAGGAGTTTCGTCTCAATATTCTTATGCTGTATCGTTGAGAGATTCAACACAAGAAAGGAATAAAGGTTAAATTTTCATCTTACCAAAAACCAGTAACATTATGTAATTCAAACAACACTATTTAAACTAAAATCATCCTATAACAAAGGAAGATTTCCATCCTCTATAACTGAAAACAAATATCTACCTCGTGCTTACATGATGTTATATAAAACAGCCGTGAAAACAGGTGTAAACCACATGTTGTCAGAACGATGTCAGTTCCATCTTTGATGCAACTGGAAATGAGTCAAGTTGTTTGTCATGGTTTTTTAAGAAACCAAAGTTTCTCAATCCTACCTGATGACATCATAGCCTTCTTAGTTTATTTGTACAGTCCTATACTGCCATCTTCTCTAAGTTTATTTATAGTCCTATACTGCCATCTTTTCTAAGTTTATACTGCCATCTTTTCTAAGTTTATTTGTAGTCCTATACTCCCATCTTTTCTAGTCCTATACTCCCATCTTTTCTAAGTTTATACTGCCATCTTTTCTAAGTTCATCTTTTCTAAGTTTATTTGTAGTCCTATACTGCCATCTTTTCTAAGTTTATTTGTAGTCTTATGGCTATACTGCCATCTTTTCTAACCAAAGTCTTTAAAAACAAGAGCGATTTATTTGCTGAAGAATTCATGAAATGGAAGCTTTGTATGTTTCATCCAGCGTAACATTTACTTGGGACATGTATGTGTTGAAAATGAACTCTTTCAGAAACCATGTGCTGCTGAAAACAGTAAGTAGAAATAATTGTCTGCGACGGTACACAGCAGTGACAAGGTTTCACAAGAACATTCCTAGTTTCAAATATTATTTTTAATTTGATGAGAACATCACAACATACATATTTTACTGCTGACACTTGTTTTTTTAACTGTTACATTCTTTGGGTTTTATTTCAATAATAAATACCTCGGTAAATAACAATCTGGTTCAGAACTAAGCTAATCCCTTAGTAAATAACAATGTAATCATACAGCCATAGGTCACCAGTTGGTATCTAACCATGAATCATGATTGCAATTATCCATAATCGAAAAAAATCCCACCACAATATTCTTCAAGGAAACATTTGTTTACATTACTGTATACGAGTACATAATAACCACTTTGTAACTATGGAAACAACCATGATCAGCAATAAGAAAATCACTTTTATTAAAGCCCTAAATCAAAGCGAAAGAAAGTCAATATCTGCTATACCTAATCATACTCAACCAGATCCACGCATGTCTCAAAACTTCATGAAAATGTCAGCATATAATGAAATATTCATTTTATCTACATAAAACATCAATATGTACAGCTGATCTGCACTGCCTGCAGACCTGCAACCAACATCTGTGCTTTCTTAATTTGTACTAAGTATTTACTCTGAAAGCAAACTGGCAGGGTATTACTCCAGCTAGGTAATGTACCACATACCCCTGCTACTGGTGGTTGTAACACATTACCCCAATCCATTTCCCCAGCATGATTGACATTTATGCAACTAATACCCCTCTTTGCATTATCAGAGGTATCCCATGCATTGGCCAAGGGGGAATGACCTGATATGTGCTACTGCCAGGAGGCCACTACTGCACACAGCCATGTAACAAGCCAAAATACAGGGCCCTCGGGAGTCATAACCTGATAAGCCATCAGCAAGATGACTTCAGTTAGCTTCGGTGCCGAGTCTCACTGGTGGAGAGATACAGCTGGTGGAGGAGACAGCTGTAGAAAGCAGTAGTTGCCCTTTCAAAAATATTTCCAACAACACAGATTCATTTGAAGGAAACAGACACAGAACTATGAGTCATTATTGGTTTAACAACACAAATATTCACCTCTACCATGATACAATGAATGAAGAATTAAAGACATACAGAATTAACATACCAATATAGACGTGTCTGGGCTTAAAGTAAATAGCTATCATGATTAAATCTTCTAGCCCCAAACACAAGGATAAGTCTGGAAAAGGATTTGGGGAGGAGTATGTACCTCTTTTTTAAATCAATGAATCTCACAAACTGCTCCAAGGACCAATATTGTAATTCAAAATCCCTATAATACGGATAAATCATGACTTAATGAACCTTTAGTTGAGATATGTTCAGCAGATCTTAGAGATAAGTCAAAAGCTATTACAAATGCTGCTGTCTCTCGACCCTTACTCCCATCCCCAAACCACAATCAATCGCCATGGCCATGACTAATTACGAACCAAAATGCTCCCCTCCCCCTCACAAACTTTCAGGAGCAACCAACGGTCCCCTCATATCTAGAGCTGGTCTAGTGTAACTACCAACCATTCTATGCCAAAATGGCCACCACAAAAATAGATTATCCACTACTAATTATGAGCTATACTGTCCACCATATAGATCTAGAGTACCAACCAGTATCAATTAATCCCCCTACATGTTATCTACCAATACAACAGGCCATGTATCATATAGACCTAGCATAGCCAACCAAGATGATCTACAAATTATGCTGCTTAAAACAAATCTAGCATAAACAGTACTTATATGTTACAAGGTATAAGCTTGTGCAGTTAAAAAAAAAGCTGGCAAGAAAAATAATATGAGCCAGTTAGAATTCAACTACTTTGTAAACAGGATATTTGATTCTGTCACCGATAATTTACCTTACAGAAAACTTCACTGACAAAATCTGAGAAATTGTGGTGACTGTACTATAGTACTCCTATTTCAACAAAGTGCCATAATTAGCTTGCTCTTCATACTTTTTTGGTTTGCAACTTTGCATTAAAATTAACTTAATGACAGTATTGCAATAAAGGAGTATTACTTGCACAAATTATAAAGTTATCTTTTACAGAGTCTTTGTCGAAAAAAAAAGAAAAAAAAAAGGCTTACAAACGACTATTTATAGGTTTTTGCTGGTGAAGAAGTCATTTGGAAATGAGATAAATGACATGCATGTCGTTAACAGATACAGCTCTATATATAGCTACTGTGTATATATATACCAAATCTACAGCTGGTGATCACATAACCAAGAATTAGTTCTTTGAAATAAAAAAAAATCATCATTTCATTAGACCAAACTAAATTTTTGTGTGTTTTTTCCTGCTTTCCTAGAAAGACTCTTTTCTACCTTAATTATTATATATTTTATAGCTAATTATTCAGAAACGGGGGTCTACAAAATCAAAGAAGTAGAATAACTGATGTGCATTCCACATTAAATACATCTATTCAATCAATTATGATTTCAACAGTTGGACTTCAATCTTCATGTCAATATCCTAATGGAACAGGAAACACACATATAATTGTATTCGGCCTTACTTTTGTATTCCAACCTAATTCTGCCACACAAAACCCTATTTACAACACCAGGGTTAGTCAGGTGATGTTATCAGCTAATTTATCATTGTATATATGCAACTATAGATGTCATACCTTACAATCAATATCTACAAGAAACACAGTGTTATCCAAATCAGTCGATTTTTCAACAACTATTGATTTCATCTAAGTCACTGACGATCCGTGTCTGATATCCGGCATATTATGTTTGTTTCTTTCTACAAGCTTTAGTTTTGAGGATTCCAAACGAACAGTCGTACAAATGGAATGACGCTAGACCAATTTAAGCCTCACATCTTGTGTGATGCTTAAAACATTACATAGTACTTTTCATATGCTTAAAGTGAAAGAAACATAATGTCTTGCAGATTTTCTCTTCTGGCTTATGGCTAAAGACAGATTATAGCCAATATGCTTCTATTGCCACAGATTTGGTCTTGACAGGACTGAAAATCAATAGCAGTATACTAGCTAACTACAGCATACCTCTCTGCCACCACTCCATATGTACAGTGCAAAGATACCATGTACAGCCCCTACCTGTTGTTATATATGTACACCAATCAATGAAGTTTCCAGTCAATCTAGTATAGACCACAGCTCAAAATATCGGACACCTTATTAAGTGTAACCCATGGCAAACAAGACATTAACATTATACCTGAGAATTTAATGTTGGTGTTTGAACGTAAAAATATGTCCTTTCAAGAGGCGATGGCAATGTAATAATACGATATAGTGACATTTACCTTTACAATTAAATGTTGAACGTAAAAATTGTGTATGTTTACGAGACAATGACAAAGCAATATGACGACTTTTACAGTGACTGATGATCAACAATATGATGCTTTATTTATATTCCAACGACTTTTCAGTGTTTCTTATAATAGTCTTCATACTAACTGTTAGACTGAACCTGACAATAAACCTCAATTTATAACTATCGTAAATAGAAACATACATCTCATAATCATTCATGTTATTGCTGCATTTTTCATCTTAGAGAAGTAAAATGTAAAAACGAATTGTTTTTTTAATCTAAAAGCCAATTTTGAGGTTGGTAAGTCATAACATTTTCAGATCTTGGTCTTAGTGACGCTGTAGTTGTGGGATATTTGATAATGAAAGATTCCAAGAAATATTACTATTAATCAAACTACTTGGATTCCAACAAGTGTGTATACATGGATTTGGTACTAAAATCACCTTATGGTAGATTCTGTACATGTGTCCCAAATATGAAACAAATCGATTCATTTAAGCATTCAAAATCAAACAGAAGCATGAAATATATAGTGGAACAAGGTCAATCCAGCACCTTCATCCCCAGACCTGATTACGAAAGGAGGGCGATACAATCAGACTACTGACATGGGACACTTTAGAAGAAAAAAACCGAAAATGAGTCTACCGTTAAACGCAGACGGATATAGTGGGACAACCAGATGAGTGGTGGCTAGCTTTAGTGTTTAACATGTAAAAGTATGTAAATAGTGTACATGGTTATGTATATATATATACACATAAATCATCATGATAATTCATACGCATGAATCATGTTCTTTATATATATATATACATGCATATTATGACCAATCAGGCTTATGTCAGCATCAGAGGTTTCCCCTTTCGTGTGGGTTTTCCTGTACTATTTTAGGCGTCATATGCAGAAAATACAAGGATGACCATAAAAGGGTAAACAACACCAAGCACTCTGAAACTTTTGGACATAGTCATGTTAAGGTTTGTGCACCATTCAATAGTCGCTTCATCACACAGGAAAGGCCTGACTCAATACTACAAAGAATGAGTTCAAATACAGGTCATTCAACCTACACATAGTTTGTGGTTACATCAACAACATGGGCAGATATATGGGTTTTTTTTATCAAATAACATTTCCAGCAAAATATTTTCATTAGCAGTGCATGTTTTTCTATTAGAATGTTTACTCACCAACTTAATAGCGACATGCTCATTGTTGTATAGGTTCTTGCCTGAAATTAAAGGAAAGATCGATTAAAACACATTACATAATGTACACATCATGAAATACTCGAGCAAAGCAGACGTACAGATTTTTCAAACACTAATTCCTGATGTTCAACGTGCTTACCCTATTTTGTTTATATTACAACAGCATTGCAGACACTTTCAAATGTATTTTGTATGTTTGTTGTATATACATGAAGGCTGATGACAGTGATGATAACATTTTACTGGTTCATCTGTTTGTGAACCTTATATATATTAACCATGACAGCAGGTATTCAGACAAATACATGTACAATTGAGCAATAAATGCCTTTTGGTTTATTTACGGATGTGATTTTATTTTATGTAAATAAAAGTCTGTATGCTCAGATATAATCCTGTAATACTATTGTTGTAAGTTAATTACCTTCATTCAGTTCATTAATTTCAGTTCTACAATCAAGTACCACAACTTTGACAACTACGTATTTAATGGAAGATAATTCAGCCATATTGGGACATCATAATAAAATTTGAATATCTTTCTCAGTGGTCAAAATATGACCTGTAAACATGGTTGGTGTATTTCATGCAATAATACATAAAATCTTGCTATGGGATTTGGGACACAGCATTGTGGTACATGCATTGTACAAACTAAGTCAACAGTCCCCTGAATTTGTTTTTTGTATACCTTTCAATGACAATGACACGACTTGTCCAAATTTCAAAACCAACAAAGGCCTAATTCAATGGCATACGATCATGAATGCAGCTTTTATATGTATACCTTGCTTTGTGAGTACGAAATTTGATCTGATCAACATGTGTACACAGTGTGTGCTCTAAACTGTCCTGATGTTTCACCCTCTCAACACTTTAACCTCTTCACAGGGTGGAAATCTCCCCATAATGGTATCAATTCTTGCAGATTTTTTTTATATTGACAATGGTTGAATATTAAAAAATGATATTTTTAAAAAGTAAATCAGAGGACCAAACTGACCCTCACTGACCTTTGACCTAAATCATATATTTCCTGCATTGTGCATCATATAGCTATGACATTTCACATAACCTTTTACCTTGGCTGTTCAGGTCTGTGTGATAAGATGTGCAATACACAAAAAACCAAACCAAAGTCAAAATGGTCATGGGTGTGGTTGGTACTCAATCCTAATTAGAGCTCAGAGAAAGCTGAAGCAGTGCAGGGATTTGACATTTTGACCTCACGCTGTGACCTTGTGGCTATAATACATACAGATGGGTTGTGGTAGCTATAGCTATAGGCTACTACACACGGCCATGTCATAATACACACACCTATCACATTTCATCAGATATCATGCACTGGCCATGGTCTGGCAGTGTATGGTTTTGACAAGCACTAAATTGCAGTTATTTAATTTTTGACCCCTCGTGGACCTGTGTGATTACACATGTACATAATCCTGTCAGTGTCATAATACTTATATATGAAATTTAAACACATAACATTTAGTGATACAACATTATTCCAGTAAACTGAAGGAGTCAGTAATGTGACCTTCAGGCTTGATTTTAATTAGAACTGATAGGTAATTACAAGCAACTGTCTTTACATATTAATCATATAGTATGTATATCGAGTTTCATAAAGAACATTCAGACAGATTGTAGGTACACAACATACCATCATACATGATGTAACTTCATCAAATAATCTTCAGGGATTTGCAAGTATACTGTAGCCCAGATAACTTCTTTGTGGGAGGTATGGGGGTATTTAAATAACCAATCAATTAATAATTTATGAAAATAATGAAAAGTGATTCATGATTCAAGATTTAGTTTTTGGTTTGGTTTGGTTGTGTTTTACGTCCTATTAACAGCTATGGTCATTTAAGGACGTGCCAGGTTTTAGTTTAATGCAATGGTGTTTTTTTAATGTACATGTAGCTATTTCTTGCTTTCGTGCAACTTTATGGGCTAACTGGAACCAACTGCAAGTTATGTAGGTCAAGACTTTTATTGGTTGAACCTTATATATTACTTTAGAGAAACGCCCTAACAATACATGTCAATATTTAGGGTTATCATGTTATGTACACACACATCTAAAAGCTAGAATGTTTGTAAAATTCCAAAAGTTACAGAAGTAAGCCCAAACTAGAAATATTCAGGCTATTCGACAACACTTTATAGTACATAATGCATGTCTATATACGTATTAAACTGTGTAGGTAAAACGAACAGTGAGAGAATCACAATCTAGAGGACTTATCTGATTTTGTCAGAATATTTTAATCATTTATCAATTTAAAGCTAGCTTAAGACTATAAATACTGGACAAAGTTATATCAAAATGGATAACATTAACAATTAGTTTGAACAACAAATGTGGTCTAGTGATGCAACATAATGTATATATATATTGTAGCTTAGAAAAGATATTGAAAACTAATATATTATTTCTATACATTTATCACACCTCATTTCATATATTTAAAGACTCTTCTCAGTGCGTATGGGGATAGCGGCAAATGTTAGATGGAGTCCAACTAACGATGGTTTTAATTCATAATTCATTGAAAACAGAATGGCTTTATCTTTTTTTCCTTCATGGCCTTTATGTATACGCATTTATATGAAAAAGGATCATTATCCCAACATCTTAAAAGAAAGCAAGCCACATGGTAGGATGCTGCCTCTGGGAGCCAAAGTACAAAATGAGTCATCATATTATGAAATGTGACGCATTGCATTAATTGTTTTCATCATGACATCATAAAAAGAACTATGTTCAGCAAATGGTAGATAATGAATTTTTTCTTGTTTAGGTATGTTTTAATTATTACATGGTTCATACAAACTTTTGACCTCAAAATTTAAGGAATTTTCAAGGGTTTTTCAAGATAAATTTTGAAAATTCAAGGGCTCATTTATATCGCAAAATAAACAAACAATTTCAATAAACAACAAGGCATTGAGGGGCTGGGATTGAAGGAAAGTCATCGGCATCCGTGTTTGTATTTGGATTAGGAACAGTCGAGGTAGGTCTCGATGTACTTGCCGTTGAACTAGAGAGTTTGGTATAAAAGTCTGTCAAAGGCTGAGGTCGAGCGGTCCCCGAAATTTCAACATTTTTTTAACTTTTCATATGTGATGTAAGGGCGTATTTCCCCCCATCTTGCCCAGATCGATAATTTTGTTACACAGCGAGCACAAAGCAGTGTCACTTATATACTGAATAAACATGACAGAAATGGATACCCAACTAATTTCACTGATTTTCAAGGGTTTTTCAAGGACTCCCATTGATTTTCAAGGGTTTTTCAAGACTTACAGTCATTTTCAAGTTTTATTTTAAGACAGACATCAAATTCATGGGTTTTTCAAGACCTGTGTCTTTTGTTAAGATTTTCTTGATAATATTTTAAGTGATCCATTATCTGAAACCAAATGATATCTGACCTAGCTAATGGAAAAAGTTCTTAGTTTCCCAATTAATCACTGGTATACAAGTAATAAAGGGTCAATATCTACCAAACCAAAAGGGATTAACAGGGTGCTGATACTAGACTTATTCATGAATTTCATCACAAATAACTGTATAACATACAGAAAAATGTAAAGTCTGTTTGACTTGTAAGATTTCAAGGGATGGTATACTTATAACAAACACAGGCTTTTGATTATCACCACTAATTAATACACTAACAGTACCAAATTCCACAGTGCAATTATACAATTAGTATTTTAAATTTTTTATTATTGTGTTCAGGTTTTACTTACATACTGTACATGCAGCTTTATTTGATAAAAATGGAAACCCAAACAGCTGCGCTTCAATAAGCCGACGTTTCTTTTTAGACCCAGATTGAAGACAAGCTGATATGTATACAGCAATATACAATTACTTCCAAATTTTTAATACATTGGCAAAACAAGGTTCCAAACAAATTATAACACCATTATCATAAACACTCTCGATCGTGTCAATTAGGAAAAGGAGCTCTTTTACGTCTACCTAACTCTGTATGCCCTCGTCTACATATTATATGAACCTGCCTGCACTAGTGTACACTTGTGTCTTTGACAGATCATTACTAGGGAGTTACGTACAGGTATGATCAGATGATGCATTTATTTAAAGATCAGGCCAGAACAAATATGAAAGTAAATCACATACAAATGTATGTTGAGTACCTGTACCGGCATACAGAGCACTGTGCATGTGATAATCAGATAAGTCAATGCAAACAAGCTTTAAATAACAATTTTTCCTTTCGCCTTTTATGTGAATGCGAGTTCATTTTTTTTTACTCCAGTATGAATATTTTCTGTTCCATGACCAAAAATTTACAAATGGACAAAAATGTCCCTATACTTATACACCTGTTAAGTATAAATATAACAAGGCAAAACACTTTGTGCAATTCATCTTTCCTTAATTTCCTGACAACCTTTGGAATTAAAAGAAATAATGGGGCAAGAGACCCAATTTAATACATAATGACACTTTGATATCCAAGAAGTACCGACACACAAAATTTGTAGCTATTATGAAATATGCCCTGGACAATATGTCACACAGACAGATACTACAGTCCACTGTGGTAGTACTAGTGGGGACTAATCATTGAAGTCATGGAAATGACAGCAAATATGCAGCAGGGTAGACATACTAACAATACTTTTTTTGTGACATTAGGTCCAGAAATGTTATGGCAAAAGAAGTTTACCAACACAAAACAGACCCATCCACATAATCGTCTCCCAACTACAGTTTATGCTTTATGCTGAGATCCCTCTCCCTCTCCAACTACCCTACCCCCCCCCCCCCCCCCCCCCCCCCCGGCTATATTTTGTGGACTTCTTATCATAACACTTTGCCTTGGCTGTTCAGACCATATTCTTTTTCATTCCTTCTTTAGCTACAAAGTTGATACTGTTTTTATTACATATACTGATATAGTATTATACATGTTTTCGCTTCAAATGTGCCGACACTCAGGACATGACACTAGTTGCATATTTCACGGTCATCAAGCACAAACTGGTAGATTTTCTGACACACAACCAGATAGCTAATTTTGCTATGTATTATGTTTAAACATTGAGCGACTTACCAATCAGAATGAATGTTACTAAGTATAACGCTACTGAACAAAAATCATCAAATTTGATCTGAAAATCATAAGCCATGGATCAATTTATGAGTATTGAACTGTGATGAAACAATGTTTTGGTTAACCATGACACCAATAGCTTTTTCAACAAGAACTTTTTAAAGACGTGTTACCCTGTTTTGCAAAAGTCATCCAAATACATATTGATCTCGACCTGTTAACAACAAGGGGGAGGGGCTGCATTTTTGCTAGTCTGAATAATTGTTGAACACTGGAAGGGCATTAATAATACTTGATAATTAATGGACTTTCAGTGTTACTTGGATGCTGATGAAAAGAAATTTGTGCGCCTTAGAAAAAGTACTGTCGTTATTTGGTTTAGTAATTACTGGTCATAGATTTACTGGAGAAATCTTGGAAGATACTGTTGTCTCCATAAACCTTGCTCAATTGGTTAAGACATAACTGTGTGCTAACAAGAATGACACTTCTCTATATGAATGAATAACAGATTCCATTGTCCTTATTTCAGAGAGGCAGACTTTTGAAACCTTTCCTTTTTGCAGCAGCCAAGTCACAGATGCTCTGAAGCCACACCCATGCAATGGCACACAAAGGAAATTATTTGAGGCAAAATAATCAGTTAAATAATACGATGATTTGGAAGACACCTATATTTACATCTTGACATCCTTACCTAGCCGTAATTCTCCAAAATTACCACATCCTATCTTCTTTCCAACCCTAAAATTGGGGCCCACCATCAGAACCCCTTGGTTACTGGAGCTGCCTTGTCGACTTGCACCATGCATGCTGCGAGCACTTTTTCGTCGACCTTGTTCCTCAGTCCTTTCGTAATCCCGTTTCTGCATGCCAAATTTTAATTGGCAGTCCCTTTACCTCCAATATTTACAACAATTCTGATAATCTGTTGAAGAAAACCGGTAGGGAAAGAGGAATTATAAACAGAGCACCGAAATCGTGCTCAAAATGAGGTGTTCATTGCTAATCATGCCATATTTCCGAAACCCTTTCCCGTGGTTCCATGCCATTTGGACAATTGTTCTCCATACTTATGAAAACATTCGTGGAAGTAGATGTCGTTTGGTCTATTATTTATGATTCACATTGTCGTTAACCCGGACAATTCAGCACAATCATTTGTTATTTTCCGTGTCTCGAATATCTTCTCCTGAGGAACTACACATCCTTCAGCTGTTTGACAGATAAATTCCTCCGCGATGTCCCAATCAAAACAGATATTCATTCAAATGTAGTTTAATAATCCATTGCATTAACACTGTAAAAATATTTTTGAATAGACGCAAAATATTCCAAATTATTTATAAAAAATTAAAATATCATCAGACCTATATCTTATGTGAAATTTTATTTCGGAAGTCAGTGACAAGTCACCGGCAATGTGCGCAAGTCGGGAATTCCCGTTACCAGGCGTAGTGTAATATTTATCGATAAACAGAGTAATTTCTGACCTTCTAGCCGTTAAAATAAAGTATTAACACCAATTTGATAGTATATGTCCGTTCCTTCACCAAGATTGTATATAAACATATAAATTTCAAGTGTTTCCTAGCGGAAGATTAATATATTCTATCACGCCAGATTTTACGTCACTTCCGTATCAACATTAGTACATGCGAGTTCACGAATATGGCGGCTGTTTTCAAACAAAATCGTACAGATGTAAACAAAACTTTCCGATAGTCTGTTCCACGATTGATGTCTTCACACATGATCAACCATGGTTGAGAAGGGTCGCTTCTTAGTCGTTATCTCGGTTCTTGAAGGTAAATGGTTCATACTGGAGTGTTTTGCATCATATAGAAATGCTAGTGGAATGACAGGTCCGATCTCGTTTATCACATCAGCGCCAGTTAACATTTTTGTTAAATGTTAAGCTGAGACTTCAACGCATACATCAGTTATGTATCTGGAATTGTTATATTTATGATGACACAGTAATTATATTTGCATGATTGCTTGCAAAACTGGATGTAATATCTGTATCGGATTGCAAGCATCCGCCCCCCCCTCCTTTTGTCAATGCCTGCAGATATACTCTACCAATTGAGCTAGCTGGTCGCCGACAGTCGACCAAGTCCAGTTCCCCCACCCAACTTTGATCAAGCAGATGGCTTCCTTTTAAAGGTAATTGTGGCAATTTTGTTTCTCCAATTGCATTTATGACCATGAGTATTTCATATTCATTTTATCTTTTTTCTGTAAGGACGACGATTTCCTAAGCGACCACGACATCAGATAATAGCAGAAGCTCGGTTTGATGGAGAACTTTTGTCAACTGATCCAGTAAATCATGTGGAAAATCCAGACTTTACACAGGAGTTGGCCTGGGAGCTGGACAAGAAAGGCTTACAGCAGCATCGACTTCAGAGAACGTCCATCAAGATTCAGTGCTATGCCTATGATAGTTCCAGTACAATGAAAGAAGCCATTGGCTATGTGGTATTGGATCTACGATCAGTGACTGCTAAACAGGTGATCATGCCCTTTCTGAGCTAAATAAGATCATTTATTTTTATTGCGTATCTGTAATATTTCGGGGGGGGGGTGGGGTGAAATTAAATAATAATTCAAACATTAGTTGTCTGTACCAACATATGTAGGGTAATTTGCAAATTATCAAACTGTTATGATAACTATGAAATTGATTATTTCCTGTATTTTAGATCGATAGATGTAATCATGAATTTTCTTCATAAAGTTCTCACAATACATTTAGTTGATGGACTCTTTCTCTTCAGACGGCGAAATGGTATCCTCTTTTACACTCCAAGTACAGTAAAAACAAGTCAGAAATTAAGCTTTCTATCTATCTGGATGAAGATAAAAGTGGTGAACAACCAAGCTTCCGAGCAAAGGAAGCTCCAGCAAGAAGTAAGGAAATACAAATGTTCTATTCAAATAAAAAAAGAAATAGGGTAAACAACAATTAATATATGACTGAAATTGATGATTTTTCTAATCTATGTATCATATTCTGCGTTTTCCTAATAGTCAACCAAAAATGGTAAAATCTGTAATTTGGCTCCGTATTCAAAAGTGGGTATTTCTTTCTTTGCTACTTATAGTAATCTCAGGATTTCTGTGAGTTGTATTTTTGACGATACTTATTACAGTTATTGAGGATCCAGCAGTTGGTCCAGATGAAGCCCGAGGACTGCGGCCAATACTCAATGAGGAGGAGGGCTACTACCAGATAGGACCAGCCTCCAAGTGCAAGGATCAGTTTGTCCTCTCAGTTACTATTGCATATGCTGCAAACTTGCCACAGGTATTGTATGTCAGATAATAATTGGGCAACAATCACTGATATATTTATTTTACTATTTACATCCATTAGTGTATATATATGCAATCATTTTCTTTAATGTCTGAATTTAAACAAATTTGCTCAACAGAAAATTGGTTTCTGTTTGTTAAGCTATTATATATAAGCAGAGAAATAGTTGATTTTTAAGAAGCAAAAAAAAAAATACAAAAAAACATGCAAATAATCTGTTTCTGTTTTGCTGATAGGTATTGCTTTTTGTGAAAACTAAAATACATAAATCTTTGCAAAATCAAAGATGACTAAAATGCTACTGATGCTTACCAATACCTCCTGTATTGATTGAAAGTGTCCTTTGTTCAATTTATATTTTTGTCTGAACTGACCAAATAACTGGGTTGTCCCCTGAAACCCTTCAATTCTGGCTCGTCCTGACTTGTGTCTATTTTGGTGCAGTCACATAAACACCTTGAATGTCACACATAACCATTTCATTGGTTGTGCTGAGTGAGTCTGTATACCTGGACACTTTCTATTTTATTGCAATAATAACAAAAGGTTTAATAGCCATCAAAATTAGTCCTCAATTTGAGTGTGACAGTAAATTGATAAAGTTAAAAATTGAAAATATCTTATATAATAAATATATTAGGATGGAATATTTTCTTATACCAAGTAATTATCTGACCTGTTACCATCAAATAAGTGTAATTGTAAATTAGCTAATATTTGTTTTTATAAAATGTCCTATTATTCTTGTTTTTTATATATATGCTTTCACAATACACATTTTAATTATCATACTATTCTTGGTTTTTATTTCCTGAGTAACGAGTTTTCTCTGATCTATTTAAACTTTCCACAAACAAACTCCCAAATTGTATGTGGTCCTATTCGTGTTGATAAGACTGTATTGTTCCACTTGTGACTTTCAGCTGATACCCAGTACACAACCCTTACCTCCTGATGCCAGTGGCTACTTTTTCTACTTCTCCCTACTTGGGAACGATGTCACAAATGAGGTATTCAATGATCTTATCAGCCCCAACTTCCCAGCGGAGAGGGCATCTGTTCGGATCAGGACGAGTGTGGACGCCCTGCGACTGTTTTTCTCCCATCAGCCAGGCATTCAGGTCAGTTGACGCATCTTTATCATGATGAGTGTGGTATGCGTTTATTTTCGTATACAAAAAATAATAAAATATTTTTTTGATATGGATATTTGGTGCATTACTTAATTATAAAAGTAATCTATTAAAATGATCTACAATGGCCTTCAAAATTGATTTGTTTCCTGCATATAATTTTCTTTACGCTAGATTTCTGCAAGGCTTACGTTTGACACCTGGACTTTTCTTTTTGATTGAAACTCACATTATTATTCAAATCTTTTATATTAAGTTACTTATAACTCGAGAGTAAAATGTTTTTAAGATCGGTGCTTGGCAGGATTTTTGGCAATTAAACATTTAAAAAATTATTCAGTATACAAGGCAGACATATTTTAACTTGCAATAATTGAAAGAAAGATACTGGTAAGTTCTAAACTATTACTGAGAGGAGTGGGAATGTGTATGCAATTAATCACATCATTGCCTAAAAATTACCTAAAAACAGAATTCACCTACCTTTTTCAAGTTTTGTTTGTCCGTATTAGAATACTATTTGGTCTTAGTGAAGCCTCATGTCAGAAGGGTAGAAGCTTTGTAAATTAAATAAACGTGATATTGAAATATACCTGGAAGTGATACGTTCAGAACATTAGAATATAACCCCAGGTTGACAGCAACAAGTGTTTGTTTCAGGTTCACCTGTGTTGTGGGGAGCAGTCTCTTGGGAGCTGTGAGGTTCCACTCAATTCTCTCCTTCAAAAGAACAGTACAGAAATTTATATGAAACCAGTGGCTGTGGAAGGATCATTTCAGGTAATTATAAGATAACAGGAGCCGGAGTGGCAAAAGTGGTTAAGGCGTCTGATATTCTGCTACCACTAGCCCTCCACCACTGGGTCGCGGGTCCAAGACCTACGTGGGGCAGTCGCCAGGTACTGGCCTGAATCGGTGTTTTTTCTGACTTTCCGACTTTCCTCCCCCACCATAACCTTGCACGTCCTTAAATACCATAGCTGTAAAATAATGATAATAATTTGAGGTTCTTATATACCGCTTGATCACAACCTAGTTCGTAGGTTGTCTCAAAGCGGTTCACAAACTATTATCAGTGGTTATAGGGCCTTTGCAACCAGCCATGCAATACGTTTCTCAACTCCCTGGGGAGCATACAGCCAGTGCTGCCATTTTGGCGCTCACAGCTAGCATTCAACAATTCTAGCACTGCCCAACCACATTCTCATTTACAGCTGAGTAGACTGAAACAAGCGGAGTAAAGTATCTTGCTCAAGGATACAACACTGCCGTGACGTGACTCGAACCTGCAACCCTTCAGTCACGAGCCTTGCTTCCTACCACTAGACTACTGTGTCTCCAGTGACACAAACGAACAAAAAATTATAAGAGACAGATATTATTTGATTTTTGTTTTCTACAATAAACGTTTTTCAGTGATTTATGCAAAATACATCTTGGAGTCTTTGACTCTTCTTTTGACTGAGACTCAGCTCATTTTAAAATTCATTTAATGTTATATGGGACACAAAATTTCCAAATTCTTGTCTTGGACTCATCAAAAATATTTCTACAAAAATCTAAGCTATTTATTGAGCAGAGGATAAGAAAATTATTGTACAGATTCTTTTTGTTTTGTCTTCCTAAATGTTGATAAAAAATAAAACGTCTTTTTCTTGACTTCCAGTTAATTCCACCAAACAAGACAAAGCAGCAGATACCAAGTGTACCAAGCGACCTGTCTCCTGCTGTCGGCGTGTCAGTCATACTCAGGAAGGAGGATATGGTATGTAGCTAAGTAACAGGAGTTCCCAAAGTTGGTCAAGCTTAATTCACCTTTCCATAAAGAGTCCTGAAGTATAGTTTCATTCAACTTCAAATGTTTAATCCTGCTTAAACTTGTGTACAAAAAATGCTGTCGGTTACATGCCAAATATCTGTATGCAAGGTACCTGTTTTTGAGTGTTTCACCATATCATTTGAATTTTTCATACTGTACAGTAGTAGTCTGGTGATAACATCAATAGCAAATATGTTTAAATATATTAAGCACCTCATAAACAATTCATATTTAGAATTTTGTCCTCTTTTGCAGGCAATGAAATCACCTGTGAAGGAATCTCCACCTCGTAAAGACCAGGATGTACAGAGGGATTCTTCTCCACCCCGACCCAAAGAGTCCCCTAAAACTAAAAAATCCCCGCCTAAAGGGACCAAATCTAAATCTAAAACAAAAGGCAAGGACAAAGAGGTAGTCCCCAAGCAGGCGGCAGCTGATGACTATCCGGACGATTTTGAGGAGGAAAATACTCACGAAAACTTGAGTAGTATTGAAGAGGATAGATTGAGAGAAAGTAAGGAGAAACTTGTCTAAAGTTCTATGGACAGCACATTTCATATAATTTCAAAATTTGTATAGATGTCTGAGATCAACATGTCTGAGAAAGATTGAACTATCAAACACCAACGCATTTTTCACTGCAGTGATTATAATTAAACTGTTTTAAGTGTTTTGTTCCCTACAATGATTACAATGGAACTTTTTTTTCCGCAGTCTTTTGTTCCCTGTAGTGGTAATAACTATTATAATTGCAATAATTTCTTTTCAATGTTTCCTGCTGTTCAGTTATTTTTGACGTATTACATGTTTAGAAGCAGCAAAGAAATCTGACCAAAGGGGAGATAAGCCAGCCAGACGGAGCCTGTCCCCACCCACAGCTAGTCCTGTAAGGCCCTCTGATCAAGGTAACTCCAACGCTACTATTTTTACATCTATTAAAGAGTTGGAAAGTGAACTTGGGCTTCTTCTCAGAGGGATGATAGGATCTTTTTTTTCAATTACACTATGAATTGAAGTGTTATCACAAATTATTTTTGATTTTAAAAATGTATTAAAAGAAAATTTGATTAATTACACATTAAAAGAACTTAACAATTATTTAATTTATCAAATCATTTTTACAAAGACAGTGATAGGCTTTCTTTGGTGTGACAAGCATTACTATTCTAACAATTGAAACCCAGGGTGATGTAAGGTTAAATGGGTGTAAACCCAGTGTGACTTAAGGTTAAATAGGTGTAAACCCAGTGTGATTTAAGGTTAAATGGGTGTAAACCCAGTGTGATGTAAGGTTAAATGGGTGTAACCTCAGTGTGATGTAAGGTTAAATGGGTGTAAACCCAGTGTGATGTAAGGTTAAATGGGTGTTATTTCTGCTCTTAAACTCCTTTTATATCATTATAGGTGCAGCAGGCAGCATAGACACAACCTCACACCATGTGGCTATCCCACCTCAGGCCCATCATTTCACCTTTTCCATCGACCTCCGCAGCATCAAGGACATGGCCAGCACAAACACACTCTACGTCTTTATCAGGTATACATGTTCAAAACCAGTATAACAAGGTTGTTAGCAATATATAAAAAAAAAAACATGTATAATTTCTGTTACATATAATATCCCCTATTGTCGTCACTTCATAAGGAACAATGCACTGACATCACAAATTCATAACAAAGGCAAAAGCAGTAGTGTTTTCCTTCAATTTCTCCATTCATTTATTTTTAAATTTATGATTGTGCATAATTTTGTTGATTATTAGATAAAAAGAGTCTAAAAATTATACCCAAAAGGGCTATTTTACACAGTTATAAGGAAATCAGCGTAAGCTTGTTTTCACCAAGTCACATTATGTATTGGCACAGTGTTTAAGTTCCTCTATTGCTGTGAAATCAAAGCAGAGAAAAGAAGCAATTAAAGATTTGGTAGTGATTTTTATAAATGTAGAAATGTATTCTATACCTAGATCTAGAAAAACGTTAAATTGTTTGAGATAGGTGTAGCTTATTGGTGATGTCTAAGGATTCACCAACTGTAACTGGGATATGCCAAGAGTGAAATATCTGTTTAAGTTAAAGGAAGTCTTTTATTCAGGTCATTCTAAAAAATAAAACACTACAAATAAACTTTTCAATGTGTTTAATAACATATCAGTGCATTTATAACATATCAGTGTTGTTTTTCTTCCTTAGGTACACGTACCCATTCTTCGGTAGTGCAGCACCCATCTCAACCAACCCACCTGTCGAGATACGCAAAGGGATGGAAGTCCTATTGCCACAGTCCTTCTGTGCTTTTGACTTTGCTTGTACTCTAGCACAGCTTCAGGAGACTTTCCTCAGGTATGTACTAGATGGTCCTCAGGTAGGGTAGTAGACCTTCCTCAGGTATGTTAATAGATGGTCTTCAGGTAGGGTAGTAGACCTTCCTCAGGTATGTTAATAGATGGTCTTCAGGTAGGGTAGTAGACTTTCCTCAGGTATGTTAATAGATGGTCTTCAGGATGGGTAGTAGACTTTCCTCAGGTATGTTAATATATGGTCCTCAGGATGGGTAGTAGACTTTCCTCAGGTATGTTATAGATGGTCCTCAGGATGGGTAGTAGACTTTCCTCAGGTATGTTAATAGATGGTCTTCAGGATGGGTCGTAGACTTTCCTCAGGTATGTTAATATATGGTCTTCAGGTAGGGTTGTAGACCTTCCTCAGGTACGTTAATAGATGACCTTCAGGTAGGGTAGTGGACTTTCCTCAGGTATGTTAATATATGGTCTTCAGGTAGGGGTGTAGACCTTCCTCAGGTATGTTAATATATGGTCTTTAGGTAGGGTAGTAGACTTTCCTCAGGAATGTTAATATATGGTCCTCAGGATGGGTAGTAGGCTTTCCTCAGGTATGTTATAGATGGTCCTCAGGTAGGGTAGTAGACCTTTCTCAGGTATTTTAATAGATGGTCTTCAGGTAGGGTAGTAGACCTTCCTCAGGTACGTTAATAGATGGTCTTCAGGTAGGGTAGTAGACTTTCCGCAGGTATGTTAATAGATGGTCTTCAGGTAGGGTTGCAGACCTTCCTCAGGTAGGTTAATAGATGATAGGAAAGTAGACTTTCCTCAGGTATGTTAATAGATGATAGGAAAGTAGACTTTCCTCAGGTATGTTAATAAATGGTCTTCAGGTAGGGTTGTAGACCTTCCTCAGGTACGTTAATAGATGACCTTCAGGATGGGTAGTAGACCTTCCTCAGGTATGTTAATAGATGGTCCTCAGGTAGGGTAGTAGACCTTTCTCAGGTATTTTAATAGATGGTCTTCAGGTAGGGTAGTAGACCTTCCTCAGGTATGTTAATAGATGGTCCTCAGGTAGGGTAGTAGACCTTCCTCAGGTATGTTAATAGATAGATGGTCTTCAGGTAGGGTAGTAGACTTTCCTCAGGTCTGTTAATAGATGGTCTTCAGGATGGGGAGTAGACTTTCCTCAGGTATGTTAATAGATGGTCTTCAGGATGGGGAGTAGACTTTCCTCAGGTATGTTAATAGATGACCTTCAGGTAGTGTAGTAGACTTTTCTCAGGTATGTTAATAGATGGTCTTCAGGTAGGGTCGTAGACCTTCCTCAGGTACGTTAATAGATGACCTTCAGGATGGGTAGTAGACCTTCCTCAGGTATGTTAATATATGGTCTTCAGGGAGGGGAGTAGACTTTTCTCAGGTATGTTAATATATGGTCTTCAGGTAGGGTAGTAGACCTTCCTCAGGTATGTTAATAGATGGTCTTCAGGATGGGGAGTAGACTTTCCTCAGGTATGTTAATAGATGGTCTTCAGGATGGGTAGGAGACTTTCCTCAGGTATGTTAATATATGGTCTTCAGGTAGGGTTGTAGACCTTCCTCAGGTATGTTAATATATGGTCTTCAGGTTAGGTAGTAGACTTTCCTCAGGTATGTTAATAGATGGTCTTCAGGTAGGGTAGTAGACCTTCCTCAGGTATGTTAATAGATGACCTTCAGGTAGTGTAGTAGACTTTCCTCAGGTATGTTAATAGATGGTCTTCAGGTAGGGTCGTAGACCTTCCTCAGGTATGTTAATAGATGACTTCAGGTAGGGTAGTAGACTTTCCGCAGGTATGTTAATAGATGGTCTTCAGGTAGGGTAGTAGACTTTTCTCATGTATGTTAATAGATGGTCTTCAGGAAGGGTAGTAGACCTTCCTCAGGTATGTTAATAGATGGTCTTCAGGTAGGGTAGTAGACTTTCCTCAGTTATGTTAATAGATGGTCTTCAGGTAGGGTAGTTGACTTTTCTCAGGTATGTTAATATATGGTCTTCAGGTAGGGTAGTAGACTTTTCTCATGTATGTTAATAGATGGTCTTCAGGTAGGGTAGTTGACTTTTCTCAGGTATGTTAATATATGGTCTTCAGGTAGGGTTGTAGACCTTCCTCAGGTACGTTAATAGATGACCTTCAGGTAGGGTAGTGGACCTTCCTCAGGTATGTTAATTGATGATAGAAAAATTAGACCTTCCGCAGGTATGTTAATAGATGGTCTTCAGGTAGGGTAGTAGACCTTCCTCAGGTATGTTAATAGATGGTCTTAAGGTAGGGTAGTAGACCTTCCTCAGGTATGTTAATAGATGACCTTCAGGTAGGGTAGTAGACCTTCCTCAGGTACGTTAATAGATGACCTTCAGGTAGGATATTAGACTTTCCTCAGGTATGTTAATATATGGTCCTCAGGATGGGTAGTAGACCTTCCTCAGGTATGTTAATAGATGACCTTCAGGTAGGGTAGTAGACTTTCCTCAGGTATGTTAATATATGGTCTTCAGGTAGGGTAGTTGACTTTTCTCAGGTATGTTAATATATGGTCTTCAGGTAGGGTAGTAGACCTTCCTCAGGTATGTTAATATATGGTCTTCAGGTAGGGTAGTAGACCTTTCTCAGGTATGTTATAGATGGTCTTCAGGTAGGGTAGTAGACCTTCCTCAGGTATGTTAATATATGGTCCTCAGGATGGGTAGTAGACCTTCCTCAGGGATGTTAATATATGGTCTTCAGGTTGGGTATTACTTTCCTCAGGTATGTTAATATATGGTCCTCAGGATGGGTAGTAGACCTTCCTCAGGTATGTTAATAGATGGTCCTCAGGTAGGGTAGTAGACCTTTCTCAGGTATGTTATAGATGGTCTTCAGGTAGGGTAGTGGACCTTCCTCAGGTATGTTAATAGATGACTCCAGGTAGGGTAGTAGACTTTCCTCAGGCAGGTTGGGTATTACTTTCCTCAGGTATGTTAATAGATAGTCTTCAGGTAGGGTAGTAGACCTGCCTCAGGTATGTTAATATATGGTCTTCAGGTAGGGTAGTAGCCCTTCCTCAGGTATGTTAATAGATGACTCCAGGTAGGGTAGTAGACTTTCCTCAGGCAGGTTGGGTATTACTTTCCTCAGGTATGTTAATAGATAGTCTTCAGGTAGGGTAGTAGACTTTCCATAGGTATGTTAATAGATGGTCTTCAGGTAGGGTCGTAGACCTTCCTCAGGTATGTTAATAGATGACTCCAGGTAGGGTAGTAGACTTTCCGCAGGTATGTTAATAGATGGTCTTCAGATAGGGTAGTAGACTTTTCTCAGGTATGTTAATAGATGGTCTTCAGGTAGGGTCGTAGACCTTCCTCAGGAATGTTAATATATGGTCTTCAGGAAGGGTAGTAGACCTTGCTCAGGTATGTTAATAGATAGTCCGCAGGATGGGTAGTAGACTTTTCTCAGGTATGTTAATAGATGAGGTATGTTAATAGATGACTCCAGGTAGGGTAGTAGACTTTTCTCAGGTATGTTAATCGATGGTCTTCAGGAAGGGTACTAGACCTTCCTCAGGTATGTTAATAGATAGTCTTCAGGTAGGGTAGTAGGCTTTCCATAGGTATGTTAATATATGGTCTGCAGGTAGGGTAGTAGACTTTCCATAGGTATGTTAATAGATGGTCTTCAGGATGGGTAGTAGACTTTTCTCAGGTATGTTAATAGATGGTCTTCAGGAAGGGTAGTAGACTTTCCTCAGGTATGTTAATAGATGGTCCTCAGGTAGGGTAGTAGACCTTCCTCAGGTATGTTAATATATGGTCTTCAGGTAGGGTAGTAGACTTTTCTCAGGTATGTTGATATATGGTCTTCAGGTAGGGTTGTAGACCTTCCTCAGGTACGTTAATAGATGACCATCAGGTAGGGTAGTAGACCTTCCTCAGGTATGTTAAGGTATGTTAATATATGGTCTTCAGGTAGGGTAGTAGGCTTTCCTCAGGTATGTTAATAGATGGTCTTCAGGATGGGTAGTAGACTTTCCTCAGTTATGTAAATAGATGGTCTTCAGGAAGGGTAGTAGACTTTCCTCAGGTATGTTAATAGATGGTCTTCAGGTAGGGTAGTAGACCTTCCTCAGGTATGTTAATAGATGATAGGGTAGTAGACCTTCCCCGAACAGGGCAAGAACTTTTTAAAGTACTGGTCGTTTGTGGAAGTGGATTTAAAAAAAAGTACTTGCCTATGGGTGAAATATACTGGTCCAAAATTTGTACATACATACAGGTACTTTTTATGGAATAAACCTATATGTACTATTATAATCTTTTAACAGAAACAACCTTTTTTGTTTGCCTATTAAGTAATAAAACCATGTGCTGTAAATAAAGTACTGTTCATTTAAAATGTTTGCACTGGTCCATTGGGAAACTTGCATTTTCCAGCAGACAATAGGGTGATATTTCTTCCACTGTTAGGGGTGATACACCTTCCACAGGTGTTATTACCTGTGTTTGCTTAAATATGTTTCCTTATGATGCCCCTTGTTATATTCGCCAGGTAAATGTTTACCTGCTGTATGGTGCCCCTTGTGATATTTACCTTTGTTTAATTGTGTACGTGTAGAGTGCACCTGGTGGTTATTTACTTGTAAATGTTTGTTGCTCCGGTAGGGTGCCTCTGATTGTGGAAGTTTGGCACAGAGACAAGCAGCTGTCCAAGGATGTGTTACTGGGCACGGCGCGACTTCCTCTGGGCAACATTATCACTGCGGACAAAATGAGGATAGCGGTCAGTATCACCAATGCTAACTTCATCATACTTCCTAACATATCATTACACTTCATCACATATCATAACACTTCATCACATGTCATAACACTTCATCACATATCATTACACTTCAATACCTTGTCATTACACTTCATCACATGTCATTACACTTCATCACATATCATTACACTTCATCACATATCATTACACTTCATCACATATCATTACACTTCATCGCATATTATTACACTTCATCACATATCATTACACTTCATCACATATTGTTATGCTTCATCACATATCAATACACTTCATCACATATTATTACACTTCATCACATATCATTACACTTCATCACATATCATTAGACTCTATCCCATGTCATTACACTTCACATATCATTACACTTCATCGCATATCATTATACTTCATCACATATCATAGCACTTTACATATATTACACTTTTTTTCTGTTAGTGTTAAGAGACTAATGTATGGTTTGTTTCAGCAGAGTAAGACTGGAAGTATAGGATGGAGACAGGCTTGCAGTGACCGGGTCACAGTCCAGGCTAACGACAGGTCAGTATAACCTCTCCCTTTTTGTATATATTTTTTAGGTCACCTGAGACAAAGTCTCAAGTGACCTATTGCGATCGCCTTTTGTCCGTCGTCGTGCGTCCGTAAACAATTTACATTTTCGACTTCTTCTCCAAAACCCCTGAACCAATTTCAATGAAATTTTGCAGGGACCTTCCATGGACAAAGGTCAACAAAAA